TTTAATTTTATAAAATTGTTTATGGTTTTACATCCTAATAAATAACAAGCATAAACCCTAAACCCCAAAAATTATACTTTATCCATAAACCCTAATAAATAACAACCCTAAACCCCAAACCCTAAACCCTAAACCCTAAACCATCAAACTATATAAGTGATGCTATGACTCATAAAAACAATTTTATTTTGGTTGGTCATTTTAAACTTTCATTACACAAACTGCATTTTTTTGGGGTTTAGGGGGAAGAAAATATATCAATGACTTCATAGGAGTTGAAGTTGAATTTTTTGAATTTATTTTAAATTTATTTTTAAAATTTTGAATTAAAAATAATAAAATATTCTTATATCAACAACAAACCACGGCGGGGGTTAAGTAACTAACGACGTTGTAAACAATAATAAACGACTAACAGGTAAACAAAACGTCGTTTAAAAAAGAAACCACGTCGTATTTTTCACCATACGACGTAAACTCAATATTCCACGACTCAATCACCGTCGTTAAAAGTAATACCCTAAACTTTAAAACCATAAATTATATATTTGTAAAATTTAATTTTATAAAATTGTTTATGGTTTTACATCCTAATAAATAACAAGCATAAACCCTAAACCCCAAAAATTATACTTTATCCATAAACCCTAATAAATAACAACCCTAAACCCCAAACCCTAAAACCTAAACCCTAAACCATCAAACTATATAAGTGATGCTATGACTCATAAAAACAATTTTATTTTGGTTGGTCATTTTAAACTTTCATTACACAAACTGCATTTTTTGGGGTTTAGGGGGAAGAAAATATATCAAGACTTCATAGGAGTTGAAGTTGAATTTTTTGAATTTATTTTAAATTTATTTTTAAAATTTTGAATTAAATTTTTTTTTTTTTTTTTTTTTTTTTTTTTTTTTTTTTTTTTTTTTTTTTTTTTTTTTTTTTTTTTTTTTTTTTTTTTTTTTTTTTTTTTTTTTTTTTTTTTTTTTTTTTTTTTTTTTTTTTTTTTTTTTTTTTTTTTTTTTTTTTTTTTTTTTTTTTTTTTTTTTTTTTTTTTTTTTTTTTTTTTTTTTTTTTTTTTTTTTTTTTTTTTTTTTTTTTTTTTTTTTTTTTTTTTTTTTTTTTTTTTTTTTTTTTTTTTTTTTTTTTTTTTTTTTTTTTTTTTTTTTTTTTTTTTTTTTTTTTTTTTTTTTTTTTTTTTTTTTTTTTTTTTTTTTTTTTTTTTTTTTTTTTTTTTTTTTTTTTTTTTTTTTTTTTTTTTTTTTTTTTTTTTTTATTACAACCAAAGAAACAAAGGGCCGGTGTAGGGGGGGAGTGCCGAAGGATCCTTGAGATGGGATCGCTTGGGGGAAGTGGAAAGGTGTTGCGTGGGTGGACAAAACTTGGGCGGTGGGCCAAAGGAAGTTGGGGGGGCGAAACCTAAGGGCCGGTGTTAGAGCTACGACGGAGCACAAAAAAAAAATTGGAAGGAAATGCATTGTATGAGGGGTTTAACTCATTTAAGTTAATTATATAGCGAGCTAACAAAGACTTGAGAGTGTAGAAAATATGTAATAATTAATGAAGGAGGATTAAACACACCATAATCATATAATGATTTACTACAATATTTTACTTTATACATTACATGATAAGATACATGAGTGACTTAGTACCACATAGAGTTCCTATAAAGTTTAAGTTTGAGTTATTTACACTAACATTCCTTGAGGTTTTCCCTTTTTTTGCAAAACTCCTTGAGATTTTAGAAATTACAAGAACACCCCTTGAAGTTTTAAATTGTTTTCACAACACTCATTTTCATTGATTTTTCATCCAAAGATTAATGATTTTATTATTAAAAAAATTCTCTAAATGACAAAGTTGGCCTTTGAGATTAGATTGCATATACTTCATTGAGATTCATTTTGTCAATTGCATAAGTTTTTTTTCCAATGAAATCATCAATTTTTGGACCAACAATCAATGAAAATGAGTTTTGTGAAAACAAACTGAAACCTCAGGAGGGTGTTTGTGTAGTTTTTGAGATATGATGAGGGTTTTTGGAAAACACAAGAAGTCTCAAGGGATGTTTTAGTGTAAATAACTCTTCAAATTTTTCATTGTCTTCGTCATCTCAATATTATCAATGTTATAGTCATACTTTGGCCAAATGTTACTGAAGTATGCGAGAAATTATCGACGCCGATATTTTCCGATATAATTGATACTTATACGATATACACATGGATATGTTCAAAAATATCCTAAACTCGAAAAAACGATAATATCCTCGATATTTTATTGATATTATCGAGATTTTAGTCCTTGGTTAAACCAACTATCCAGCATCATATTAATCATTAGGTTACACAAACTTGTGTCTCACTAATCTCTACTTTGGTTTTGGTCCTTCTGGTATTTTAAAAGTCACTTGAATTGAAAATGTCTCAATTTGGTGGAGCCTAGTTAATTCGACGTAGTTCATCAACATGAATATGCCAACTTGGTACCAAAATATAAAATTTGAAAGGTCATTGATAATGTTGATCCTCAAATTTACACAAGTCATGCGATCCAGACCTCACACCAACCATATTAATTAAAATTTCACTTTCAAATTCGAGAATTGTTGAATGAGGATACCATCAAGTTTCTTTGACGGAATTATGATGTGAAGGGCAAGTGTAAGGGTAAATTGGACCTTCTAGATTTTACTCTTGTGGATTTTATTCTTGTAGCTTCCTAAAGGTTCAAATTCGAGAACTGTTTGATATCGTGAAGTTTTTTTAATAGAATTATCACGAGAAGGGCATGTGTACGTGTAAATTCGACTTATGGCACGTTTTTACTTATAAAATAATGGAAATTAGAAGAAAGTAAATGATTTCCATTCATGACTTTTCGCTTATTTACTTACACAAGGAATCATTTAATACATGTCTCTCACCTAAAAATCATTCATCAAAATGGGAATTATTTGACCTATCTCATTTCTTCTTATTCCTATTACTTAAAAGTAAGCATACCAGGTCTAAGTACCTCACACACGTACACCACACGTGCTAATTCCGTTGAACGGTAATTGTTACCCTGGAATTGGATTAATAAGTAAACTATGAAAAAGTGAAAAACTATAGTATTAAAGTAAGGTAAAACTTGACCCAAACTACGAAAATGGTTATTTGGCCTTTATAAAAACTATATGAAACTCAGCTCCTTCCAATTCCAAACTGGTAGGTTGTAATAGTTTTAGAGAAGCCGAGCAGGTGAGGTCAGTTCTTCCCTCTCTCTGACACTGGTGAAACAATTTGATCATGACGGATTCTGCGAAAGGCGAATTCCAGGAGTTCAAGAAAGTGGTGAGCCTAATTATATATATAATTACCAGACAATTGCAAGGTGCTTATCGTTTAACTTGTTTTCCCTTTTCTTTTAATCATTGTGCATGCAGAAAGTATGGGTTGAGAAGAAATCTAGATGCATGACGTTGTACGCAAGATGGTTAGATGTCACTTGGGGTTTCCCTCCATACTGGGTTTGGAATTGTTACAAAGAAATGAGGTACGCATCATATTATCTATCCATGTCTTATTCGGGGCACAATTTGAATTATATATTACTATCATCATAGATTTTTGTTATTAATTAAGCACGGTAAAATGGTGATTAACTATTCGTTTGATTCACAGTGAAGACAACGTTGAGGTAGTCAAGCTAATGTCTGTATGCTGGGTGAATGTGAGAGGACAATTCAAAATGTCAGAGCTCTCAGCAGGAGTTGTGTATGAGATTGCATACAGAGTCAAACTAACAAATGGAGCATTTGGATGGGAACTTCCTGTAACTGTTAAGATCAGATTCCCAGACGGACGGGAGCAAAAGCGGCAATATAGTCTGTTTCAGAAGCCGAGAGGGGAGTGGATTGAGCTTAGTGGTGGTAGTTTTGAGGTTAAGGGAGAAGAAAATGGAGAGGTGTGGTTTGATCTTTGTCAACATGGGGGGCACTGGAAGAAGGGGCTTATCATCCAAGGTATCATCATCAAGCCGGCTGAAAAGATTGACTAGACGGCCATTATTTGGTTATCAGAAATAAAAGATACAAGTGTAGGATTTTTTTGTTGCTGATCATTGCTAGCTGAAGTCTTTCTCCAATGGCTCTGGCAGGGATTTGTTGTACATGTAATACTATCTCTTTCTTTTTCTTTATTCTTTTGGGTTATATGCATCCTAACTTTTTAACCATATGACCGAATAGGATTTACAATCTTGGTAAGATGCTTAGTGGCCTAAACAGAACTTGGATTTGATGATGTCTAAACCTACAAGCCTAAATGTAGTAGGATTATGAATCTCCCAAACAGCTGGAACTAAGATGAATAAGATTACGTCTAATCGTAATGCTATGATCACCAACTTACTTAACAATTTATGTGGTACATGAGATGGCAACTTATGTCATTTGTCACGTAATTACTTAATCAAAGAATTAAAATTAAACCATTTATATAAAAACTAAATAACCACAAGTCAACGCCTCTATCCTCCCCAGATCTGCCATGGCCTCACTTGGTTTCCGTCCCCACACCCTATATCGCTTTCCTTAATCACCAACACTCTATCTTTTCCTCCTCATAACCCATACCCCCTAAATACTTATTTTTTTCATCAGTCTCCATGCTCTATTGGGTTCATGATTTATCATGTTGTGTTGGTACAAAAAAAGCAGATTAATTTCACTGAAGGTGTAAAACAACAAGTTTGAGTTCTTCGAAGTAATTTAGATGCCCTCTTCCCCTTGATCCGTACCCCTCTCATCTGTCTTCTTTTTTTCTTTTTTTTATGGCCTGCAAGAGTTTTTTTAAGATATAGGTTTTTTTTTGTTGGATGACTTTAGATATAGTTCCTTACGTGTATTTTGAATACAAAGAACATAAACAATAAATCAATTTGTCCCCAAAAAATATTCCATAATAAATGAAAATCGAGAAACTCAATTAGACAGTAGAGGAGTAAGTAACTAACCCTTCAGATAACAACCCATAATCTTTTCAAGATTTCTCCAATCATATGATGCCAATGTCAATATCTGCAGTAACATAAAACACATGACGATGATCAAAATGCAGTTACCTTAGCCATGTAGCCGTGCAAAGTATTTAATGATGTGTAATTAAAAAGAACTAAATAAATAAAACCAGTGCCATCTGAATTCCCCAGCCCCAGGGAATTAAAATTATTCACATTTTTATGCAGCCAAATATCATGAATATGCAATACCAAATTGATGTTTTAGCAATGGACCGAGCATCAGAAGATGTATAACTGCCAGTAGGCAGTAACACTACCCACCAACCACACAACTGAGAAAACAGTAACTAGTATTACTTACTAACAGAGGCATGGAAACCAATAATTTGCTTCTCCCAGTTATGGTTTCACACCACCTGATTATCAATTCTAAGGATATAGTCCTGGTTAAGTAACTAACTGGGGTATTACTTAACCAGGACTATGCAAGAGCACGATTCTATACAGATAGACAAATAGAGTAGCATGAAGCGGGGACTACACCTGACAGTTCATCCGGAGAGCTCTCTTCAGACTCAGGAAACTGAGTCATGCAGATCCCGCCAGTCCCAAATACCCAGCCTTTTGTTTTATCAATCACTTTCATTGTCAGTATGCTCACTTCTAGATGTTACATAAGTTTTATTACCTCTCATCAAGTTTGCCATCTCTAGTATTGAACAAGAAGTGCTTTGTTCCATCTTACTTGCAAGTATCTCAGTATGCTCGAGGAACCCTAAGCCCCTGAGCCGGTTCCTCAACATCTCAACGGTAGAAGAGTATGGTGGTATACCTTCATCGATCATTATCTCAAAGTATTTACAAGCCTCCTCTAGCTTATGTTTTTTCTTGCACAAGCCGTGGATCATTACAGAATATGTTGAAACAGAAGGATAAAATCCCATCTCCCCCATACTCTCCCAAACTTCCGTTGCCCGATCAAATCTTCCTATCCTAATCAACAACTTTAGCACCATATTATAAGTATGTCTATCTGGCTTGCAGTTATCTTTTTTCATTCTATATAACAACCTAAGAGCCCTGTTAACCTCGCAATGATCACAATGATAAGCTTGGATTGCATTGTAACTCCACGCATCCGGCATAACTCCACTCTCAATCATCTCATCCAAAAGTTGGTAAGCCTCTTCCACCTTGTCATTCTTACACAGTTTCTTGATAATACAATTGTAAGAATACACATTAGGCAAAAGATTATATCTCTTCATCCTGTCAAGCACCCTAAAAACTGAATGAATGTCATTGGCTTCACAATATGCACGAATGAAAATCGAATAAGTACAAGCATCCGGGTCAGTTCCATTTGACCCCATCTCCCGGAATATCTTATAGGCCTCATCAACTTTCCCACCTTACACAAAGCTTCCAAATAACTATTATATGCAGGCACATCCACCAAACACATCAAATCATCCTAGTGGCAGGGTTTCATTTGCATCAAACCTTTTATGGGTGGCTTGTGTAATAATCTGTGGGTGGGTGGCAGCTGTGTGTGGGGTGTGCGGGAAACTGTGGTGTCTTTGGTATGGGGTGTGTGGCTGTAGGGATTGGGTGTGTGTTGCGTACGGGCGGCATCCGAATAAATAAACTCACCAAGGGCGCCCACGAAAACGAAACCCTACGAGAGAAGCGTACGGCACTGTCAACGCCAAACCCACGCGGAACGGGAGCCAAAAACTCCGGGGCAGACGGGACATCCGGCTGCATGGGATCAGAATGGAGGCTCAGACGGCAGCAAAGCAAAACCCTACTTACGCCAAAGCAACCAGCGAGTTAAACGTGCTCGAAGCTCACAGGAAGGAGCCGAACTGGGACACGCTAAAAGACGCCAGCAAACACTGCGGGGACAAGCGCACAAACCGTGGACCCCACTCACAACCCGTCTTGAACGGCGACTAAGAACACGCCCACAACACAGGGCAATGGCGATGCGACTGCCCCAAGCTACAATACAAAAGGTGATTGGGGCGGGCCAAAACGGGGGCCGAAACCCCGGAGGGGGGTTTGTGGGTCGGGGTGGGGCGTCACAACATAAATACCGGGTGCCCCTTGGGAGTCGGCAGATTGTCTATCCCGAGCACCGGGGGGAGAACCGGCAACCAGGGGCGGGAGAGGGGTAACACACCAGGGTGGGAAGCGCCAAGTCGGGTGAGGTTTCTGGTGGTCGCGGGGAAAGAGCGTGGAGCGCACCAGTGGGGGTAGGTGAGGGGGCTGGTTTGGGGAAGGAAGAAGAGAAGGATTGTACTGAGTGCTTTGGTTTTATGGAGGGTGAGCAGAAGAAGTGGGAAGATCGTAGAAGGTTTTGGGGTTAAGAGGGAGAGACCTTAGGGACTTTTGAGAGTGTTAGTAATGGATTTGGTTGTTGATAAACAAAGGCTGGGCCATATCGGAAATGAGCACGGTGCAGTTAAGTCAGGGGTCAAAAGCACGGCCTAGCGCCGCATCATGATGTCGCGGGGAGTTAGCCTTGTCAAGACAAGTTACTCTCGCGGTCGGTGTACGACTTTTGGGGCGGTAGAGCCTACCAAGAGGGTAAATAAAACCGAGCATAAAATGCGAAAACATGGCGGAAAGTGTCCGCGACGACTAACACCAAAAATTGGCAAAAATACAGACACGTTACCACTTTATCATGCCAGAGAAACGACACGTAAGATCTACAAAATCATATAAACATCTTCTTTCTCAAGCATGCAAATCGGGCCCCCCACATTACACCTCAACTACCATCCTCCAATAGTCGTCTGTGGCGTCAATGGCGAGTCCAGCGACGTATAAGCCGACCACGTACAGGGGGTGTGGAGAACCCACATATCCCGGCGCTGATTGGGGGACACACGCGGCCCGGGACGAGTGCGGGGCCGTTCCTCTGGGTGTGCGATGGCCGAGGTATATACGCGACGCTATACAGGGGCCAACGGGTGAGAGGTGGGAGAATAGGAAGCCGCACAGACTTAGCGGAGGGCGGGGGGGAAAAAATCGCTGCACGCGAACGGGCCCGGGGGGAGGGGGCGGGGAACGTATAGCCGTCCGGAAGGGTGAACGAAAGAAAAACAAATGTAGACCGATCCTCCTGTGTTTGGAAAACACAATGATAACATAAAAAACATATATTGTGGGGAAGATGGAACGTGAGAATAAAAATAAAGTCAGATTGATCAGGGACGCGAGAAGGTTTATGGGAATAGGAAGGCCATAGCAAACAGGGGTGAGAGGCGGAAGGTGACTGTGTGTGACGAAGTGCAGAGAGGAGGAAAGGCAAAGGTCAGGGACGGAGGCGACCGGTACCAAGGGCAAGTGCAAAGAGTACAGCCGGGAATTGACGCGAGAGGAGGCCCGCACCAGGCCCCCGGGGTAAGAGCGGGAGGCAAGCCGAACAGAGGCCGCACCGGGCATGTGGCAAGCAGGAACAGGGTAACTGGTGCAGGGGGGGTCGGTGGTCAGCGGGGAACCAGCAGGGAACGGGAGCAAAGACGGAAGAAACGAGGGTGAAGGGTGGGGGTAAACATCGGGGGGAGGGGGACGGGTTGGGGATCGGGGGGTGGGTTCGGGGGGTGCGGCGGGGGCGAGAGGCGGGAAAACGGCAGAACAATATCAAGACGGGGAAGGAACTAGTTGGAAGGGAGTAAAACTAGACCGGTTGGTGGATCCGCCAACGCTGTAAGGGGAAGATGAAGCAGAGTTAAGGAGGGAACGGGGGGGGAGGAAGTGTGAAAAGGGCAGAAAGCAAAGGAACAGGGTTGGGCGGAAGGGCACGGCAGAAAGAGGCCCAAATCTGCCAACAAAGGAGGGGGGGGGGTGCCCGAAAACAGGACATAAGGGAGAACAACCAACGTTCGGCGCAAGCCCAAACCAAGAGCAATGACAAAACGAACAATCCAACAATAATCGAAACGTAGGGTACTTGTAAAGTGCATAGTTGGGTCGGGACAATACTAAAATAAAAACGGGTGCGCAAACGACGGGGGTGAACGGTGAACATGGGCACGGCAAAGGGAAGAAACAAGCCAAAACCCAGATACAACAATACATTACAACAAAAAGAGAACACAAGCCCTGGAAGGAGATTCTTGCAATACAGATTGTAACAACACCAACTAAGCTCAAGTATTACAAGATAGTTAGAAAATAAATATACAACTTTAAACCCAGCTAACAAGGAGTTACAGATGATGAGGATCCTATTTCTGCAGCAACCAGTGCTTAAGAGAGATCAAGACAGAGAACAAACTCTCAAACTTCATGGGACAGGAAATACCCCAAGAGTGGAGGGCATTACCGCTCAACTTCCACCAGGATATTCCAAAGAATATCACAGCATCTCCTAATCCCCCTTGATCCCCAAGCACAATAAAAGAAGATCCACCAAAATCAGCAGCTCCACCTCCAAAACAGAGAGACTGACACTAGATCTACCACACAAGTAGTAGATCTAGCAAGATCAGCCAAAAACCAGCCCCAAAAGACTGGGAAACAAACCCTCAAGAAAAGAGGGAAGAAACAAACCCTTGCAACAGCAAGGAGCAGACAAAACCCCCTCCGCAACATAACAAGCTTAGTATAGAAACATATGGTTTCAGGTCTTGCCAAATAGCTTATTACCAATCAAATGGGAAATTAATCTAAACTTTTAAATAACTTTAGGGTCAATTACACTTGGCATGTCCCATCTTTTTCACGAAACAGATAGCCCCACACCCCACCCACTCCTAAGACAAAACGGAAGACAAAAGTTATAAGCATACAACAAATGCCTTTCCCATAACATATTCTATTCTTGGATAATATATTTTGCAAAAAATTTATTACCATAATCAAGTTTAGGGTACATAATTCAAGCTAAACACACTCTAAGAGGAACCTCAAACAAGGAATTTCTTTCAGCTTGGCTCCTCAGCACCTGCAATTTCCCTCTCCTCAGCTGCAGCGGCCATCAAATCATCAAAGTTTTCCGACTTCCCAAGTATGATCTCAATCTAAACCAAAAGAAAATAACAATAAATACATATAAACAAAATGGAACACAAGGTTATTTCTTATTTAGGGGACAGGGAAGACAAGACTCAATTGCTTGTCATGGATGTGGGGTGTAAAGTTCTATACTTTCTTGAGTTGGAAGCCCTCGCAAAATGGTAGAACTCTTGTTGAGATGACCTCAGAAAACAAGATTATACTCTAATGAAGTACACTAAATGGATATGAAGATAAATTTTGAAAAGAACCCAGGAAATTTGCTAAATGGTCAAAAAGTAACTGCAAAGGAAAATAACCATATAAAGTTCATATGAAATGATAACACTATTGGTGCACTAAACTTTTAACCTCCATGTAGGAACCTGTACCAGGACAGATAGCCCAAGAATATAAATCCACACTTATTATCATGAATCAGACCAATCAAGTAGGGCAACAATAATTGCAAAAGGATCTCTCCATGCAAAACTCCAACGTTTCATTAACATAAACATTAAGTCATTCTTTTTAACAGACCTAAGCTAGACATATTTCAAGACAAGATTCAAAAAACATTTTAATAGAAATAAAACTTCAAATACCTTGGCTTTCTGGACTGGTCTCCCTCTAGAATCATCCTTTATGTCAACAGTTGATGTCATGATTTCTGCATTGATATTCAAGAATATATAAATTGAATAATGATAGTAGCTTTGCAGAAAGATATAAAAGTAGATAGAAGCCTCACTTTTCTCAACGGCCAGCCCATTGTTTTTCAGAATTTCTGCAATTGTAACAACAGTGGCAATAGCTGCAGTGGTACAATGAGAATTAATCTGCGAATTAGCATTCATACTAAAGGAATCCAAACTATAATAAAACACTACAATATTCAATGCAACTTTAGCTCCCTCAAACTATAGAATTGCCTAAGTTTCAATATTCTTAGTTAGAAGTTTGTTTCGCGGAATCACATTCATTTCCCATGTTTGATAAGTGCACACAGGAGGGGAGGTTCCCATTCCTATTGGTGTCCAAACCCCATAAAATGGGGTTTTGCATTCCCAAAAGGAGCAGGCAGGTCTACTGGCTTAAACTTAATAATAAATTACAATAACAACAATGAACCTATTTATGCCTTCTAAAAACATTAAAGAATTTCATTGGTTTCATAAAACTATCTACCCTCCCAACGTTGCCAAATAATGAAATGGAGCTTACTGTCATGGGTTTCTATAAACCCATGGAACAGTAATGGCTATGGGATTCTTGGAATCCCATTCTGCAAAGCAGATGGCACCTTAGAGCAACCCCTCTACTTGTTAACTAAGCACTTGTCCATTTGTCCCTTCCAACTACCAATTAGAACAATTTTACTACAAGCCTTTGTTTTCCGACTAAAAGTTTGTTCTCTTTCTATAAGTATATATTGAAATAGTAAGGACATATTTACTTGAAAATTGTAATAATCATCAGATTAAACATGAGCAAAGAAACCTAAGCAATAACCAAACTGGACCAACAAACAAGAGAACTTCTTCATCCTCGCCCACTGGAACATGTATGCAAGAGTCTACACTCTAGAAATTGTGAAACATGTCAATATTTTATTCAAATTCTCACTACTAGAAACAGAGTTATTATGACATAATGGCTCTTGACAAACTTTCTCTTTCCAATGCTAAACAAATGTAACATCCACACTATAGATCCCAGCTTTAATTCACTATGACCAACAGACATCAAACAACAGGAATGTTAGCTTGTGCATAGAAACCACAACAGGAATGTGAACTTGTTTAATAATATAGATGAACCCAAAGAACACCCATACAAATGACCTAACATTAAGTTTCATTAGTTATCCAGAACTTAGTTAGGAACGTCAACAGTTCTGTGATTTTAGCATCATGTCGAAGAACATATTAATAAGGCACACACTAGCACACGCACAGAGATCCACACACACACAGTCGTAAGTTTTAGAGCTTAATGAGATGGAAACAGCTCAATGATTTCATACCCATTCCTAAAGCAGAGAGCTCCACTTCATTGTACTGTTGCATATACCTCTGCAAAACAATCAATTGACAGAAACATGATGAATACAAATAATAAAAGAACTGATAAGAATAAATTATTAATCCCAAAACACTTAAAGAAGAGGGAAAAAAAAAAACTGCTTCGTTTATGTCAACCAAAAACATTCTATTTCCAGGTAAAGATTAATTTTGCAAGTTAACCAACAAACTCGAATTTCAGCAGAAGCCAGGCATTATTAAAAAGAAAGAAGAGAAAACCCAGAACCAATTTAGGCATACAAGCATATCTACACATGTACGCGTATGTAAATATCCGTACAAAGACAAAGAATTAAGAACAGGGTTGGGAGAAGGGTTTACCTTGGCAAGATTAACATAGAAGAAGAGGGGCTTTTTGGTATTCGAGACCTGAATTCGGTTCTTCTTGTGTGAATCTGCGATGATGATGTTGTTCACACCCTCAGTAATCTCCTCCATTGCAGTGAGCCAATTAAGTGAACAGCTTCCAAAACCCTAACCCTAAATCCCCTTTTTATCAGTCTCTCGGTTTTTTCTCTTTCTAAAATTGATTGCTCATATATATATGGGCCTAAGGTACCAAGAAGTGGTTCGGTCCGAAACGATAAGGATACAAGCATTTCAAGCAAGTCAGTACCCACGGTACAATACTTCAAAGCACACAGTTTTTTTTTTTTTTTTTTTTTTTTTTTTTTTTTTTTTTTTTTGGGTTTGGGTATCATTTTGGACACAAATTTCAATCTCGATTCTCACTGAACTTTAAAAAACTAAAACCTTGAAATATATACACACAAAAAAGATCATTTTGTCATAATATTATAGGAGTTTTGTTTATACTCTTCTCTTATTTAATTTCTTTGGGTAAATTGGAAGTCCTCACCTATTTGAAATTTTTTGAAGTGACCGTGGCACTTTAACACAAAAAATTATAAAATGTGTATTTATTTATTAACTTTATGTTTTTTGGTTAAGGAAATACCAACGATGTCGGTCACTCATACAATGTGATTCGGCATCAAAAAATTTATCATACGTAAATTTAAAAGAGGTTCTTATTTTTTCCATAAAAGAGTTCTTATTTGTTGCTATGAAAGAGTTTCTTATCTTTAACATTCAAGTTGCAGTAGCATAAACCATAAATCTACAACCATAATTGGAACTGGCAACAAATATTGCATATAACAAAAATAAATACCAATCATCGAATATTGTATCACAAATCAGGCCACAAAAAACTTGCATCACAAATTTAAAAGGATAAAAGTAAAAGTAGAATTATTCACAACGCTCCTTAAATTTGTTGCTAAGATTTATGTGTTTAATGACAAATGATCCACTAGTGTAGTGGTTTAGAGTAATTACTCCCTTAGTCAAGGTTCTAGGTTCGAGTATTAGCATCCGTATAGTATATGTGAATTTAGTATATGTTGAGACCCAAAAAATACATGGTTGGGCCCGAATAAATTATCAGCCCAAAACGACGATCCATTAGAAAAAAGCGTAAAGCAGAGTGCACCGAAACCTACCACATGCGAATTACAGTGCACGTGCCACGCTATATAAATAAATTCGCTCGGGGTTGAGATAAAATATACCGTGTTTACAGGCCCATACAAAAATAAGCATCGCAGGACGATAAATTAAAACATGCCAAGCAATGTGTCATGCCAAGCACGAAATCATTATCGCACACCCAATCACACTACAAGCCTAAGTGGGCCCAAGCCACTCAAAAAAATCGGGGCTTGCTTGAGTGGGTTGTGGTATAGACGGTAATTAATCAACATGAGGCCCATTGATGGGCCGAGAAATGGAAAGTCTCGGGTTGCTTGGGAGCCTCGAGGCTCAAGCCCATTTCTTAGGCCCAAACATGTGGGTAAGCACAAGAGAGAAAATTAGCCCAAAAGCTCAAGCAAAATAACCTAACCAAGAAATAACCCAACCAAAAATAAGACCAATGTTTCACAAAAAGCCCATTTGCTTAGGAAACCACCTTGGCCCTTATAAATCCCAAAACAGCCCACAAAAGCTTCAGTTCTTTTGAAAAACAGAGAACACGTGAAGGAGGAGGTTGGCAGACTCATCAAGCAAAGCTGCTAGGAGCAAGTTCCAAGCCAGAGACGCCCAAAGAACCAAGGAATGCTGGCATGTACGCTGTCAAAAGCACCCCTTGGACCAGCATATATTTTCAATTCATTTCCTTCATCAGATTTAGCCAAGGCAGAGGGAAGGAAAGAAGAAAAAACAGTAACCAAGAAGGGAAGCTCCCACTGCACAGCTGCGGGAAAGGGGGACATTGAGCTCCCAAATCTCCTGAATTCGAGCAAATAAACAGAGGCAATTTTTGCCAAGATAGGGAAGTCAGAGAAGAGGAGGAGAAACGAGGAAAAAGTTTAGCCAAAATAAGTAGAAGCCATTAGGGTTTCTTGAAGAATGGTGATTTCCAGCAGCTATAAATTGAGGTTTCCCCTACCCAACAAAGGCAACTCAAATTCAGGGAGCAAGCTTTCTCTCTAACTTACAAAAATCTAACTACCTCGTGCACTGTTCACCTTCTTCTCCAATTTGTTTTTCTGGCAGCTGCCAGAAGAACTCTGCCTTCCTTTTTCCTCTTTCTCCAGTCAAAATTCCTCACAAAACACCTCATTCCTTACCTTAATGCTTTCTTTTCTCATAAATCAAGCCTAACCTCTCTCTTAGTGCTAAACTTATGTTGGTTTTGCTCTCATGCCACATGTCACTCATGCTGAGCTAAAAGACTATCTGAAAGCATGCCAAAATTATCTGTAAGTCACCATTATTTTGATCAGTGAAGGTAGCCAAAATATCTCCTAAGGTTTTGCTACCCTTTCGAGGTATTTTGGAGCTTAATTTTTGAACCCAGGCAAAAGAGGACAATCTCCTCAGTCCGCCCTTTTACAGCAGCCCAGCCCATTAGCCGCAAGAAGAAAAAGTCCCCAACAGTATACTATCACATCTCTCAATAGGAAAGGTCCTTAAAAATAAATTATGTGTTTAATTATAGAAGCAAAAATCGCATTACACAACACCTAAGTCATAAAACATTAATTAGCCTAGTATTTAACCATGTCTGTCAAGATTATGTACGTTAATTATTAAGATTTTCTTTCAACTGTTCAATTAAACTTTGAAAATTATTTATGAATAATATATAATATTTTTGGGGAAATTGGTTATGTGTAACTCTTACTTCATTTAACTTCTTGTTTATAATATGTGAAATAATTAATGCAATTATTGAAGTAACAACATTTCAACCGTCGAAGTTTGGGGTCATTCTTAATATGGCCCCCATAGGTTGGATGGTTGGTCCTATAATGACACAGCGTTGAGTTGGTGGAATTTTGGCCCATGTTCACTTCCTGTCTGGGCTTGGCTCGTGGTGTTACTGGATCCTTCGAGAGAGAGGGTCGCTTTATGGGCCTGGCAGCCATTCCCTATATCGGTTGGGCTTTGGATGATGTTAGGGTTTAGATTTTTAGTGTCTGGATGGAGTCCAACTACTTCCTCAAGTGGTCTGGGCCTAAGTTATTTTTGGGCTCTTATGAATGAGAATATGACAGCCCAAACTGAGAGCATTACCCAAGTGGGCAAACTGGTCTGCAACCAAATTCTTTTCCTTGGTAAAATAGGTCATATAGTAAGCCCAGTCATGGCAAATTAACTCATGAGGCATTCTATAGTGAGGGCAATATATATGGCCTTTAAGTGAGATTCTATCTCTTAAACGTACAATCATCCTAATCAATTTGATCCAACAGTTAAGAAATATGACCTTACCTAAAGACCATATATAAGACCCTCACTATAAAATTCTTGATCAACTCCTTATACTACTTCATAAGACTGAAAAGAGGGTGGCTCTCTTGAGTCTTTGAAGCCTTCATCCCAAGAAATAGTTAGCCCTTAAAACAGACCCTCAAGGCCTAAAGCACACTCGTCTCTGTTGAGACATAAAAAGAAAGAACCTTTTGAGAGCTTTTGTTTGAGAAATCATACTGTCAACCAACCACAGAGCAAGCAAAACACCTTTCTGTTTATTTATTTTTTCTTCCTCTCTCTTTCTGGTTTAAGATATTTATTCTTGCAAGAAGTCTACCAGCTAGCTGGTTTGCACCTGAGAAAGAACTAATTAATATTTTTCTAATATTTGCAAATTGCATGCGCATGCTGCACTTGGTGCGTTATTAATGTATAAGCTGTAGAACAGTGGTGCAGGTTGACAAGGATTAGCAAGCAAAAACTGAGGGCTCTATCGTGCGTGCCAAAGCATGGTCACTTTCAGTCCCAGCATGTGTGTACGAATTTACCAACTCTGATTAAATTTTATAAACTTTACAAGCTTTAGGACAAGGTTATCATAATTCATAATGTTGGTTGCTTTCGACATTACACCTGTGACCAGTTTGCACTGCTCCACTGGAGTACGTTTTTGGACATGTTGCCAAGTCTTAAATAAATTATCATACCTACTTACAAAAATAATATAACTCTATCAAGTACTGAGAAAAATTCGGTGACTTCATTAAATAATCAAAGAAGTATAACCCGGGGGTAAAATCTGACCCCGATTAGATAAAGTACTTGTTGATATAGTACTTTAGTCTATGTTAACAAGTAATCAAAATCAGGGATGGACCCAGCATTTTAAAATATGGTGGGCTAAATTTACTTTACTGGACTATTAGATTTTTTAAGTTCAGTTAAACTGTTAAAGGAGGCTTATGAAATTGATCATAAATATATATATATATTTAATTTGAGAAGATATCATTTTTATTTTCTTTGTTTAAAAGGCCTATTTTACACTAACAATGCCAGCAACTTTTCATCATATATGCTTAAACATTAACACTAACTATAAGAAAAGAAAAAACCTAACCTGAGCTACCAAGTTGTATATAGCATAGGTCCGTCCCTGACCAAAATAATAGACGTAAGTTAGGTTAGTTGGTTAGGGCAAAGAGTCCGTTTCCTTGCACTTAAGTTCGAATTTCCTTTTGATAGAGTATTAGAATAAATGTAAGTGCCACTACAAAGTTAACTTTGCATATAGATTTTAAAAACTAATCAGGTAAACTTTTCTTATATATAAATTAAAGTAGCAAGAAATCTTTAAGATATATTAACCCAAAAGGATAAAAGTTAATCTTGTGCGAATACAAGATTAGTGGGTGGTGAGTACCAATAAATGGTTCGTTAAATTGGACTTGGATTGAGACTCTCTCTTTTACTGTTGTCTTAGTCCGATATGGCATGATATGTCTCCTCCTATCACATATAGCGATTGAAATAAACCCGTTTGGTGTCTAATATTGGAGGAGAAAATCAAAATAGAGGTGAATGACTTTTCATGTTGGGCAGATTAGGAAGGATTAGTTATAAGTTGTTGTGATCCTACTATTTTATGAGGGTTAGATTGAATAAGTTTTCTTCAAGAGTTATCATTATCCATCTTCTATCTTCAACTGGATTAAAAATAAAAATAAAAAATAAAAAAATTCATTTCTTCCTTAAACATGCTTTAAATATATAAAGTATCCAATCCGATGTCACGAAACATGCCCATCCGATAGTTTGATCGAGAACACTTTCCTATATTTTAGTTGAAATTCTATACCAGAAAAAAATCGGAGCCTCGAAGCGGATACCTACCTTACTTGAATATTCCCAGAAGTGGTCTTGCCTATGTAATTAAAAACTCATAGTCAACACTACAAAATTTTACATCATGCCAAAACATGTGTTTTTTTTCTCTCTCTGGTTTTGTTTTTTCACATACGTTTGACATGCTAACTGGATAAGCTCCACGACATACTCACTCATATTAAACCCGCTCAACAACATTAATATATGAATCACAAAAGTGTCACCGCAAGGATTCCAAAACACAAAGCTGCGCCCTACCAAAATTTAAAACAATTAATAACCCACAACACAAGTATAAAATAAACGTGAAATGCATGCAGATCATTTTCTTTATGCTTTAATTTCTGTTTAATTAATAGATAATTAATTTGGGTGCTTTATTATTTGTGCAACCCATTGTTGTCGCATAAAGCCGGTGATATTATTTTATGTAGAGGCAAGTAGGCCACATGCACTTTATGTGTGCCCGCGTGGTGATGTCAGAGACAGAGAAAAGGGAGGGGCGGCTGCAGTTGTCTCTACTGTAAAATTTTAGTGGAGTTTTAGTAGAAGAAGGTGATTGATCCACTTACGATCCTTTTCAGAAAAGAAGAATGAGTAGAGATTCATGTTGCGTAAGCAAATGAGATTTGAGGTGTATATATATATATATATATATATATATATATATATATGAAATATATGCCGACAGAACCATAATCTTCAACATGACATTTGAGGAAATTTGTTGGCGTGAATCAACTATTTCTACTACGAATAGATTTTGTAATTAATGTATTTTATTGTAATTACTTAATTTGAGTAAAATTTGAAGATTTTGTATATATATTCTTTTATTTTTGAATCAGGTTCCAACTAATAAGGAGAGATACCAGAGGTCGGTTGGGAGATTAATCTATTTATCACTTACACGTCTTGACATTGCCTATGCGGTAAGTGTTGCTAGCCAATTTATGCATTCACCTACTGAGGATCATATGGCTGCTGTGATATGTATTCTGAGTTACTTAACGTCTGCTTCTGGAAGGGGTTTATTACTTAAAAAGCATGGTCACTTGGATCTAGAAGGTTACACTGGTGTAGATTATATAGGGAACATTACATATAAGTGTTCTACATCACGTTACTTCACCTTTGTTGGAAATAACTTAGTTACTTGGCATTGCAAGAAACAAAATGTTGTATCTCGGTTTTTTGCAGAGTGTGAGTACATAGGGATTGCCCAAGGGATTTGTGAAATACTATGGTTGAGGTGGTTACTTACTGAAATTGGGTTTAAACAGAGAACTGCTACAAAGCTCCATTGTGATAGCAATGTGCATTTGATATAGCTAACAATCAGGTGCAATATGATCGGACTAAACATGTAGACATTTATCACCGTTTCATTAAGGAGAAGATGGAGCATAAGTTAATTGATAGACCATTTGTGTCTTGTTCGGAGAAGTGTGCAGATATATGTTGACCCATGTTATGTCAAAGTGATGATTCGAAGGCTCACTTGACAAGTACGGTATTACCGATATCTATGCACCAACTTGAAGGGGAGTGTTTGCATCAGCCAGCTATTCCTTTTAGGAATAGATTTTGTAATTATTTGTATTTTATTGTAATTACCTAATAGTAGATATTGTACATATTTCTTATTTGTATTATCTCTGTATGTAAGTATATATCTCCCTCCTCAAGAGAAGAATAAATATATCAATTTATCCCTAATTACTTTTGAGTTGGCATCCTATTTCCTATTCCAATACAAGTGATACTATGGATAGTGAAATCGAACCTATGACCTTAGGTGCCGAGTAAATTTTCTTCACCACTTGACTTGAATTATAAGTCCATTTTATCTCCACTTTACACTTCAGGTAAACATAATTACAGATTATATTAGGGTCATGAGGCCTTATTTAGGGATATATAAAATTAATTTTCCATCCCCTTGAGGTATTTTCCACTTGCGTCATTTGAAACAGCGGGATCCAACCTAACCTCCTGTGATGCATGCATGTTCCCTCAACATGTTGCCAGCTGACTCAAAAATCTTATCAACTATTTTACGGTTCATGTTGATTATGTTTTTGTCACTTCTTCTTGCTACACCTACATAGTCTACACTTTTTCTACAAAAGGATGGCCGACTTGACAGTCACTTAGAAACCTGGAATAAAATCGAGTAATTTTGATTTGAAACCATCATGTTCCATTGAAAATTCAACAAAAACAACTATGCATAATGGATGCCTTGTCAACCGAACCTAATTGGGAGTTAGCCTCGTGATCAAGTTTTGTATTATGCGAGAAAATCATGCTAATTGGTAGCAAATTTTTTTAATTAAACAAATATACATGAACCATAATATGGTTTTTATACAAGTCATAGTAGGTGGAGAGTGACATATAGGTTTGGTTTATACACAAGAAATCGTAATTTTAAATTTTAGTTTATAAGATAGGCCGATAAGCTTTGCTCTTTCTCAAAACAAATGGAATTATGACACACTTGTCAGTTTCAGCCAAGCTTTTGCTCTTAAAATCCAAGCTCATCTCAAACCTTACTCGAAATAATGTGTATACCAAAAATGGCCTGGTTTTTGCTTAGTTTCTTTTTTAGTTTTAACTTGATTTGATTGCACTGATAAAGTTTTTCTTTGACTAAAATAAACAAAGTTACAAAAGTTTATTATGTATTTTGAAACAATACTGTTCATCATCAATTAGAGATACAAGTGGTAATTTTCTATCAATTAAATTTAGAAAAGATTGATTATTGATTATGTAATAATCCAGTTGTTTCCTACCAGGTCCCTTGTTGTCTACTTTCAATTCTCTTCTCATTTCGGAGCTCTATGGCCAAGGACACAGAAAGTCACATGGACCACTCCTAGGAAATTTGAAATAAAAACACCATCAAGTTCCAACTTTTGTGATCAACTTGAAAACCTAGTTGGTGGTCCAAATGGCGACACTTCATATCCACAGTACTCCAAAATGGAAATACACAACAACGTATGCAAGTTAGAGACTGTGTTCATGCCCAACTTGTGAATCTAAATCAGTGGGTGGAGTTCCAGTCACATCCAACTGAATGTCACATGTTTAAAAGTTAGCAAAGAGAGTTTCGATTGGCCTTCCAATTTTCGTTAATTATCATCCCATTTTTCTTGAGCCAGAAAAAACTTAATTTGGTTGAATTTATTTATGTCGTCCAATTAATGAGTGAATATCATATTAGATTCCTGTTACGCGGCATATTGCCACCCCTTTTACTTACTCATGTGTTTTTCTATTTAGACCTAAAATAGATATAAAAAATAAAGGGACATTTTGGAAAAAGCAAAAGGAGAGAGAAATTTTTTAAAAGAAGCAAAAATGGACAAAAATGCCCTTATTTATTTTTAGATTTCCTAAGGAATCCAATACATTTGCATGTCTTTAATTTGAAAGTTGAGCGGTTTTTTTGTCTTTTTTGAAAAAGCTTTGGCTTTTTTCAAAAGTGAAATTTTTTTTATGTCTAAAACCTAAAAAACCTGAAAAAAAAAGTGTTTAGAATAACTCTTTGCAAATCACACAACCTCTTTTAACGAGGTCAGACTAAGAGCATCTCCAACAACTTTGAAATGCTAAAATAAGTGAGTCACATTCTCAAAATCCTCTTCAAAAATCTTGTCAAATTCAGTCATCAAAGCTGCAATCTCTTTATATTAAAAGAAGTTCAGTTACTATGAGAGTACGTACAAGATACCATTAATTGGGTGACTCATAATAACAAGCTAATATTTAATATAGTAATATTTATCTCCACTTCATTTAAAGATGTGTTGAATTCGCCTATCATTATTGAGGAAGAAAGAAAGTTGACTGTTCAATTCACATGTTTTAAATTTACACAAACTTGTACTAAAGCCAAATAGATAAATAAAAATTAAATAAAAAATATAATGTGGCAAACCAACAGAGACCAACATCCCCCAGCAAGATCAATTTTGTCATTTATCCATGCATGATCCGATTCGTTTCAACTTTTTTTCTCGCTTTAGAAATTGACACCCAAATGAAGACTCTAGAAAGAAACCCATTTCAATTTTCCACTGAGAAGTGGGACCAGCACGAAAGCTCCTCACCCAATAATATATTTCACCAAGAATAATAATAAAATATTGGGCTCCTTACGTGCCCGGGACCCATATATTTGTTGTCTCTATAGTGCTCGTGATCCCAGTCATCAGCAACGTGGAATCTACGTGTTAGAGTCATGGCTATCCGACACGTTGCATGGATGGACACGTGGCAGCCATGAAGCTCCGTCAACTTCCTTATATAAAGAGAGGTCCCCTTTTCTTTCGGTGACAACCTGAACTTCCTCAAAGATTTTCTAAGATTTTCGTCTCTCCATTTTCGTTGTTTTTTTTTATTTTCATTTTCTGTATTGTAGTTTTTTTTTTTTTTTTTTTTTTTTTTTTTTTTTTTTTATCATCTCATCAACACCATGAAGGAAACCATGGGAAACCCTCTGCATCTGAAATCTTTGAACCACATCTCACTCATCTGCCGATCGGTTGAGCAATCCATTGATTTTTACCAGAATGTTCTTGGGTTTGTCCCAATCAGGAGGCCTGGATCTTTTAATTTTGATGGTGCATGGTAAGTTTCACTAGTAATTAATGAACTCGGGTTGATGGGAATTATTTTTTATTATTTTATTTTAAAATAAATTATTATTTTTGGTTTAAATCTTTATGAGGTTTTGATAATGAATGCAAGTTTATTTTGTGTGTTGTAGGCTATTTGGATATGGGATTGGAATTCATCTTTTGCAATCTGAGGACCCGGAGAGCATGCCCAAGAAAACTGAGATTAATCCCAAGGATAATCATATTTCTTTCCAGGTAATTATGTTTTTTTAATTAAAAAAATCCATATAGATAGCTTTGAATTCTTCTGGGATTTAAATTCCCTTGTTTTTGAGTACGACTTGATAATCTTTGTATTTGGAGCTTATCTTAAATTCATATTGTTTGCTTCTAGTGTTTTCTAACCTTGGTTTCTCCACTTCTTCATTTTTCAATGATTTCCTTTTCAATGGCCAAAAATAATATTTATTATATTATATATATGTTTCTAAATTCTTTTGGGTCCTAATGAGCAGAAAGGCTTCCATGAAACGGGAATATCATTATTTTGTTATTCCAAACAAATAATATTGTCGACACAAGTGACAACACTTTCACGTAACATAATATTATTGATCGAGTATAACAAAATAGCGCTATCACGTTGCAACTTATGAGGACAAAAATACAACTAAATAACGTAGACGAAGACAATAAGGCTGGCTCCAGCTGACAAGTAACGTCTGCAATTTAACTTATTACCTAATGTGCCACTTTCAATCTGATCAATTATTATTAGGTTCTTATTCGACAACGCATGCCTAACATGCCAAAGAGTCAATATTATACGACTATTACTTAAAAACACAAATCATCCTAAGATTTGTCTTGGATTTGATAGATACGATGAGAGAAGATATGAGATCATTGATGTGCTTTCCTGTGTATTATTGCAACTTATTTTTAACGTGTCATGTCTTAGTGTGAGAGCATGGGGGCTGTGGAGAAGAAACTCAAGGAGATGGAGCTCAAGTACAAGCGATCCATGGTGGAGGAAGGTGGCATCCACGTCGATCAATTGTTCTTCCACGACCCGGATGGCTTCATGATCGAAATATGCGACTGCGACAACCTCCCAGTGATCCCCATCGCCGGGGAGATAGCCCGGTCATGCTCCCTCGTAAATCTGCCTTTGTTGCAGCAGCAGCAGCAGCAGCTAAGATTGTTGCAGCAATAGATGTGCGGGCTAATTGTTTGTGCCAATAAGATTTATGAGAGGAAGAGGAAGGAAGAAACTACTACTACTAAGTCGATTTGTGCTCTATGCGTCATTATTATGTGGCTTTTGTAATAGCACTTTAATTAATGTTGAGAAATGAAAATCTTCATCCAAATTAAAGGTGGTTTGTTTTTGGCTCTCAAGTGTGGGAATCTTCTGAGCTGGCCTGCATGTATTTTGTGTTGAGTTGAGTTTGGGATGGAGATATTTGGGTTACTTTGAAGAGAACACTTCAATTATCTTTTTATGGTGATGGCATCATCAGATGTTGTCGTGTTCTGAGAGGTAGGACTTGGTTCCTGTCCTTTTTAGCAATATAATATAGTAATATTTGATTGAGCTTTTGTACTTGGTTTGATTATATATTTTTTCATATTCAGCTTTGCAGTACTCTGTTTCTGAATTCGGCCCTACTACAACTCATTTGTTGAGAAGAAGTTCAATCAAGTTGATTCTACAAATCATTTAATTTTTTTTAAATAAAGAAGTGATAGTATTTTATTGATAAAAGAGGAATGGAAATTAAGTACAAAGTCACCAAATATGGATAATTTTTTTTTCAATGATCAAACGAAACAAGAAGTTCAATTGATCTGAAGAGAATCACGCACAACCCATAAATTGATTAAAATCCCTAATTCAGCAACCAAAAGCACACATATTCAAATCGACAATACAAATCCGTCGGTAGAAATGGAAGATTCATATTGAAAGTCGAAAATTAGAGAGAAATAAAACTAACAAACGATAACAAACTCCTAAAGAGTTCTTGAAAATTATTATACAAACAAATTAAGAAGTAGGATCACCACTCCACATTCTTCCGGGTAACCCAAAGAGAGCCATAGCTCCATACAACTAGACTCATAGTGTCGTACTATCTCGAACACAACGCAACCCGACATTTTCCTGTTATTGCAACTCTAAATTCATGTTGAAGACTGATAACTGGAGTCAAATCTTTGTGTATGTGGGCCAAAAGACGACAACTATCACTACTTCTTACAGTCTGTTTCACACCACAAAATAAAATAACAAAGCAAAATAAAAGAAAAAAAAGGGGATAAAAAGAGGATGAGAGGAGAGAAAGGCCGCGGAGGGGTCGGCTAGAGTTCTTTTTTCTTAGGGTTTTGTAAGGGAGGTTTTTTCTCCTAACTTTGTGATTTTTTTAATTAAAAAAACAATGATAAAAAGGTACTAAAGGGACACGACCTACTTTACTCACTCACTCCACTCATTCACATCTTTTCAACTTTCACGAAGATAAAAAGGGAGAGTACTTGTTCTTTTCAATCCACCAAATCAATCGATGCTCGCTAATTACCTTTCACTTAACTTTATTGTTCTTTCAGATCAAGCTGAAAATGCAGTCGCACGATGGATACCGACTGGTCTTTATGAGAGAGCAATGCCTCAAGTGACCATTGAGCATGGCGAATAATTTACGAGTCTGCTTAAATTATAACATTTTAAATTTTAGACGGTATAAACTTTAAATTTACCTAATATTCTATAATTTATGTGAACTTAAAACACACACCAATATTGGTGTGCCACGTGTTCTGGCATCATCACGCACCATAATTTTTCCTATCCAACAAACCACTCAAAGGATCTACAATGTGTAAATCTAAACTTCTTGTTTTTCATTTAATATTTGTTTCGTTAATTTTATTATTGGATAAAGTTGTAGTTAAAAAAGTTATAGGGGTGGATGTGAGCCGTAATTGAGTGGGAATAACGTCACATGGTTAGTGTTTTAGTATTTTTTTTTTTTTTTTTTTTTTTTTTTTTTTGGAGAAAAAACATGTCATTTCATGAAAACCTATGAAAGAATGGCAACTTAAAAGGGTGTATTTAATTAGGATTGTATACGATTTTGAAAGATTTTTTTTAAGTGACAGATTTCCTGGAATTGTATAACTCCTATAGGTTTTACTCGGATTTTTAATAAACTTGTATAGGCTTTTATTATAGACTCCATACTTTTGTATGAACTTTTGTTATAGATTCAAATATCATAGACTTCCCAATACTATTTTCTTTTATCACTCTTTCTTCCCAACACTATTTTCTTTAAACCATCTTGACCTAGCCACTAGTCGACCATCCCTTCTTCTTCTTTTTTTTCCCAAAATCTTCCTCTACTTGTGTGCACAACAATGAATTTCCCTTTGAAATTTCCATGAGTTGGAAACTTTCATACCTAAACAATGAATTTCCCTTTGATTTTGTTCACAAACAGTAAACTCTTTGTCCAAAAATTCAATTTGAAAAAAAACAACCCTTTGTCCAAAAAGCAAGGGCCCTATCATCTGGTAGTGTTATGGGTGACAGAAATATATCTCAACCTTCCGCCGCCTTGACGTTGGCTTCACGTCGAGATGATCTCTAGGGGAAGTTATCGGAGATTGAGAAATCTCTAGCTGAGCTTTCCGCCCAGCAACTCCAATTGGTTGATTTGAAGAAATCACTAATGGAGGAGCTTTGCTTAATACAGGACGCTTGTAACCACCCAAGGTCAGTGCATGGCTTAGTGCATTGTTTGCCAAACGATGGAAAAATTTCTAACACAGAGAGAAGAAAAAAAAACACGTCGTATGAAATCTTTGGGGTGGAGGTTGGACTTATGTTGGCCTTTATTATTTATACCTAAACCCTATAAATTCTCCAAACTCCAACACTTAATTAAATCCTTTCAATTCTATCTCCTTTTGAATGCAAGTAAATTTATTTGGACTTTTTCCAAGTCCTAATTGAATACACCCAAACTGTTATAGACTTTTTAAAAGTTTGTATAAATCCAAATTGAATACACTTGGATTTTTAAAATCTTTTTAAACGCTCTTGAATCCTAAATGAATACACCTCCTCATAATTTGGGAGACAAATGAATATATATCCTACTTTGGATTTATACGCTAACATTGAGAGTTTTTATGTGTGTCAATATTATTAAGGTAGTTTTATTCCTTTTAACTATGTTATTTGAGTGTTATTAGGCACTATTATTATTTGTATAAAAAACTTATGAAAAGGAACTTGTAGCTCCAATGATAGTGAGTATTTCTACCACGCGCAAGTTTATAGTTCAAATCGCTTCTCTACATTTGACCTCCTTTGTATGTAACCCAAAAAGAGGCAAAATTTCTAATGAACCTTGCGAACAAACCTTCTATCTATTATAATGAGGCCCCGTTGCAATTTTGGGCTTAAGATTGATGCATGTAAAAAGTAAAAGAGGCCGAACGGGCGCTTGCCAACGTCAAGGCGGCGTGAATAATACTTTTCTGAAAAAGAAAAGTCATATGGTTTATATTTGCCAAGACATTGCTTCTTTAAGCTTTCTAGAAATCAGAGTTTTACGGAAAAATTTATTGGGTTGGAAAATGGGTCTGACTACATATTCTTTGCTGCCATCCACAATCCTTGCAGATCCCATACATCCTGCACAGAAACTGCAGATGCCTTTTGATTGGAGTCCACAGCCTCATGATACCCGTTAATCAGCACTACGTCTCACAAGATAAGACAAGTCAAAATTTGCATCTTCACCTTAAATGAGAAGTAAGAAAAGAAAAAACAGAGAGACCAGGTGTTTGTTTTTGAGGGAATAGAGGCTTAAGAATAGTTAAAATTCGCCCGGACTGACAAATTGTGGCTCTTCAATAGATATGATTGAAGAAACAAAACCATATCTAGGGTTAAATTCGAAATGAAAGATATGGGATTGGTATCTTATGCTTTTTGGAATATTACGAATTCGAACCTCTATATTTAGCATCGATGTATTTATTTATATCAATGCAACTATCTAAAGAAAATCTTTAAAAGATAAGATTGCAAGCCAATTAGCTACCTAGCTAATGATTTCTTACATCATCAGGATCATGTGTGAGATCTAGGACTATATATGATCATGATGACAAATGACTTCACTATGTGTGTATTTGATGTATGAGGTACACCATAACATTGGTGTACTAGCATACACATAACTAAAGGGTCTGATAAGATGTAGAACGTATCATAAGAGTTGTAAACTATCAATAGGGCCAAAGGGAATACATTTTTATCATGAAAGGATAAAGACTATATAGGTTACAACTTCCTAGAGAGGATATGATCAACGTTTACAAAAGAGGATACACGTCGTGGTGACAATACATCTATAGATATCTCATGTTTAGTTTTAAGGAATGAGAGAACTCATGAATTGGGGAATTTAAGAATAAGTGAATAAGAAATTGGAATCAGATCAACTACTTCCCTTAGTTTATTTGATTTTCTTAGGTGTAAGTAAATGCGGGGAAAGTAAGGAATTGGAATCATTCCAATACCCATGTGCTAGTAAACCCAGAAAAATAATAATAATAATAATTTGAATGATTCTGATATCCATTACTCAAACATGCCAATAGTGTGCCTTCTTCCCCTTGACATTATCACATATATGGAGATAAACAATCTAACCACATTAAGAAATTGATCTTACATATGTGTCCCCATGCAAAGTTACAAAAGCCAATACATTGGGAGAAACTAGTTTTCATTTCAAGATCTAAATTTTTACGCATCTGAATTAGGATAATGCTATCCATATATCCAGCGCAGGGTGCCATAAGTCAACATGCATGTGCTCTGTTTTTTTTTGGGGTGACATGCATGTGCCGTTTTGTCTTTTTTGGTTAGTCCCAAAAAATTTGGGCTCTCATTTGCCAAAGGACATAAGACATGAAATGAAATTTCTGACTATGAGAAAGATTAGCCTTGATCAGTTGGTTTTGCCTTTAATTAGAGGTTTGCTTAAGATAATTAATTTGACAAACTCTCCATAACCCCACTATTACCACCTAGAAGCACTTTTAAGTTTTAATGCCTAACACCTGCCAGAAGCGCGATTTTAATTTTTCCAAAAGCAATCCCAAACATTGTTTCATATGCTTATCCCTCTAAAACTTCATATCCGGTGGGAACAAGCAAGTGATCAAGCAACAAGAACAAATAAATAAACAGTCTCATATATAATTTAATACGTGCATAACATTATGACAATATAGTGCAAGTAAAGAATGGAGGAAGAGTACATCAGTTAGAGGCCCCTTGCAAGCATTTGCTCATAATTCTCAATCGACTCAAGCCTTTGGATCAAAAGCTGCTTCCTGAACTTCTTGATGAACGCCTCTGCGCTTTCGTTGATGTCTTCAGTTGACTTCCTCTCTAGCTTATTCTTTGGTGCTTCCTCTTTGCCATTTTCCATAGCATGAGACCTGGAAGCTCCAACTTTCTCCACTCTAAAGCTTTTGGCTTCGTCTTTCTCGTCGACAATTACCGGAGACATGGTGCTCTTCTTCATGGTTGCTGCTTCTCTTCAGTTTTCTCCAATCCAAGAACTGTTCACAAAAGATGAGCTTTCTGAGCTCCTTTGCTTCCATATTTATAAGGGAAACAAAGTGCTACAATTTATTATATTCTTTTTTTTCTTCTATTTTTTTAGCAAGATGCTAATTAATAAAAGACCCTCTTCTAAGTTAAAAGTTACCCAAAAAAATACAAAAAGGATAATGTCAATTATTTCTCCATGATCAGTTTAAGATTTCAAGCTTCTGACTTTCTAGTTTGGTCAAGGAAATACAACTAAGAAGTTTATATTGATATTGAAAGCGGCAGTTGGTTTTCTTTCAATAAAATTTGGCAGGTATTCTCTTGTGTCATTGAATTTTTAAAAGGGGTTTGGCTTAATCATATAGATGCGAAAATTGACCATCTTCCCTGTAAAGATTTGATGTATGTATTTATTTTGTTGTTATTAAGCTACACGCATGTGAGTGGACCTTTGAAATAATTTGCGGCTTAAGTCAAGGGTTGTTAAGGCCGAAAGATGCCTTATTATTAGGCGCCATAATTGTTGAATCAAGAAATTATGTAATACCTTGGGATGCAATCATGCGTTTGTTTCTCCTCTCCTTTCTTTCTGTATTATTGGATCAAGTAGAAAGAGGAGGGAGGAAGAAGCTTCGTGACTCATGACTTGTTGTAATAAAGAATAGTATGGCATCTGTACCTAACTCTGCCCATCTATGGAGGTACGCAGGATGCACACGTTGTGTGTAAGAATAATAATAAAATTGCCAACGGGTCTAGTTCAGTGGAAAATGCTTTGATTTGCATACTGGTGATCTCAGGCTCAAACTTCCATGACACATTGGTGGTGTGTACATGAGAAAACCCGGCCGCTCCTCCATTATCAAAATAAAAAATGAAATTTAAGAAGTACATTGCACATGCCTGCGATTAATTGAGAAGGTAGGTATGGCAGGTTGGCATCCATATGATATGGGTGACCTAAATAAACCTTAGGGATGGCAAAGGAGTGGGTTTGGATCAGATGGAAGTGACAAGAGAATACATTTTTGCTTTAGGAAGGCCAAAGGGAAACAAATAAGAACAAAGCCAAAGGAAGAAGAAACAAAAGCATTATTACGCTGGTGGACCAAAAAACACAGAGAACAAGATAGGAGATGAGGATTTAGTCGATTTGGTTTGGATAAAGGCATTTGACCAATTCTTTTTTCAGGAAGATAAGATAGAAAAATTCTTAACCGGAGCATCTTATCTAACAAATACTTTGAGGTGAATTTCAAAACTTGGGTTTGATAGGAGAATAAGCACATTTCAATGACTTCATACAAAATAAAATGCATGAAGAGATATTAACACAAGACCTTATCAAGCACATTACATATTCCTTGTGTATATCTATCACATATGTACAACCATCAAATGTCGGAATTGATCACTGTTATATCAATGTTTTCTCACGGTGCTATGTCAAAAAAAATTATGCAATTTTTGAGCTCATCGCCATATATTTTTGTTCTCTAATCACACTCATGCACATGTACACAATTTCTTTTCCAAACATGTATACATTATTCCAAGTCCATTTGGTGATCAGTTTGGTTCTATCATTTTCCTTTGTAAGTTACTAAGAAAATCTTATGTATTTTCTTACATATATAAAAGGGAAGTTCATATCGCTATTTTTTTTTTTGGGTCTGAAAGATAATTCCATTAAAAGAGGAAAAGAACACAATGGCAGTTACACAAAGGTAGGCTCAAAACAATAAGCCCAGCAAAGCAACACACATAGCCCATAGGCCTGCCCCCAAAACCAAACAAAGCCCAAAACCAGGCATAAATGCCATCAAGAATTCTACAGTGAGGGCCTTATATATGGTCTTTAGGTGAGACCTTATTTCTTAACCGTTGGAACAAATTAGTTAACCGTTGAATCAAATTGGTTAGCCTGATCTAATGATTAAGATATAGAACCACAATTAAGGGCCATATATAAAGCCCTCAATATAGAATGACTTGCCAACAAGAATTCTATAGCGAGAGCCTTATATATGACCACCTAAAGCATAGGTTTTGTCAAACCTAGCCTAAGCACACCAGATGTAAGGACAAGGCCGACGACACTACGGTCAATATTGAGGCAGGACACTGTCACCACACAAAAAGCACAACGTTACACATAAGACTCACAAGTTTGCCACCATGACCCAAACTCTCCCCAAAACACATATACACAACATCACAAGGACAACCACTCGAGGTTCACTAGCTTTATCGAACCCAAACCCGCCTATGCACCATAGAGTACACAGTAACCCGAACTCGCATATATTTAAAGAATATAGCCGCTCGAATAGGCAAGACAAGTATAAGTTATCTTTTATTTTTTATTTTTTGGGCAAATATAAGTTATCTTTGTTGACAAGGTTTAAAATACCATTTAATTTAATACACTTCTAGTAACAACCTAAAGCCCAAAGAATCAAACACCAAGAAACCAAAAGGGAGGTGGTGCAAGCATCACAAACACTATGAGGATGGAGGATGATATATCAATTTTTACATTTACAATAGTCATAAGAAAGCCTTGAAATATATATATGATTAACTCTCTAATTTCGCGAACGGGAGTAACTATTTGTGATAAAAAGCCTTGAAAAACAGAAGAAGAAAAGAATATGCTTGGTGTGAACACCACTTTCGTTGTCGTTAAGTGCCAGAGCGACGACAACATGCATTCTGTCGTTTGATTTAAGCAGCGGACGACACCATCTCCTTCCCAACTTCCTTAAACCCTGTCCTGCAAATCCAGACTACGGCTATGGAAACCATATACCGATTCTCACTTCGTCTCGCCCCGATATCTTTCGCCGAAAAATGCCTCCAACCCAGATCAATCACCCCGATATTTCGGAAAACCCGAATACACTTTTCGAACCCCGGACCTCTAAACCCGGAACCGGCCTTTAACACACATTTCCCGACCCGGAAAAGCTACAGCTCAGGCTCTTCTCCAGTTGCCAAAGCGGGTTGGCTTCTGGGTCTGGGAGAGAAGAAGAAAAGCACGAGCTTGCCCGATATAGTGAAAGCGGGTGACCCGGTTTTGCACGAACCGGCCCGAGATGTTGAGCCAGGGGATATTGGGTCGGAGAGGATCCAGAAGATAATTGATGATATGGTGAAGGTGATGAGGAAGGCTCCTGGGGTCGGTCTTGCTGCTCCGCAAATTGGAATTCCCTTGAGGGTCAGTTTTGGGGTTTTCAGTTTAGTTTTTTCACCTTAATGGCTCAATTTTTGATAGTTCTTTCTCTGTTTTATCATTTGTTTTTGTTTGGCTGCTGAGAAAATTCGGTGAAGAAGCAAAATTGTAGCTTTCTTTTTTCCCCTTGTGTTGGTTTCTGGGAAGGGTTAACTTTAAACAGTAGATAGACCTTTTAAATAGTCAAATCTTAGTTCAATTCAAGCTACATTGCTGAATTTACTGATGTCAATATTATGTTTTTTTTACAAGTAACTGTTTTTATTTTAGTGCAACTTATTGCTTAGCTTGTAACTTGTATATGGGTAATGGGGGTTGTGGATTGTTACAATAACAAGAGTCTTTAATTCTTGTTGAAGATTAAAATTTGATCAGTCCCTTTAATGAAATCCTTGCATTTAACAAAACAACTTCTTAATTCAGGTAACAAAAATTTCTTTCTCATCTCTGCAGATAATAGTTTTGGAAGATACAAAGGAATATATTAGTTATGCACGCAAGGAAGAGACTGCCGCTCAAGATAGACGGCCTTTTGATCTTTTGGTATGTTAATAATGCGTGTGAGAGTGAACATCCTCATAACATATTAATTCTTAGCAGTGAAAAGGTTTCACTTGACCAGTACAACTTATTTTTGTTGTTTTTGATGCAGGTGATTCTTAACCCAAAGCTTCAAAAGAAGAGCAACAGGACTGCAGTATTCTTTGAAGGGTGCTTAAGGTAAGGGACACAACTGGTTTTCTTTGTTGGCCAGAAACGAGCTAAATCTATAATTAAGTTTGGAACATAAGGTCAATGAATCATCCCCATTGAGGAGAACAGAGTCTTCCTTGATGCCCTATTCTTCCTTGATGCCCTATTCTTCCTTGAGTCCCTGGATTACAGAATTATATCTAGTTCACAAACTGATAGGAAACATGATGCTATTGCATTATCAACATTCCTCATTTTGTAAATAGTTTTAATCTCAATGGTTGAAATTTTAAAACTAGGAATTGCAAGAGACTACAAAAGACCACACCAAATGATGAGCAATATATGCATTGTGTTATTAAGTTATTCAGTAGTTTCTTTTGGCAATCACCGTTTTCTTTGCGGATCTCCATCATTGGGACATAGCAAAACGAACATAGGATCATCATCTTGGTATCCTTGTTTCTTTTGTTTGTGTAGGGTGCTCAACTTACTTAAGAAATATTTGCACGTGAGTTAGACCTTGATGATGATGTCCATGAAAATTCAAATTATCTAAGGTTGGTAATTTCTTATTTCACCGTGATGTTTTGCAGTGTTGATGGATTCAGAGCAGTGGTGGAGCGAAACCTTGATGTTGAGGTTTCAGGTTTTGATCGAAATGGCCAGCCTATCAAAATAAGTGCTTCAGGTTGGCAGGCTCGGATTTTGCAGCATGAGTGTGATCATTTGGAGGGAACTCTTTATGTGGATAAGATGGTCCCTAGAACGTTTAGAACTGTTGAAAACTTGGATTTACCTCTTGCTGAGGGGTGCCCCAAGCTTGGAGGTCGCTAGCTTATAGCTATGGCTATGGAAAGGCACTCCAGTTTACAAAATGCAAAGGTAAAGCTGTCATATGCGATACTGAGAATTTGTATGCAATTGATTCTGGTCTCTTTTAGTGCAAATGACTGTTGGAGATCAATTTATGATTTCAAAATAGATGTGAAATTTTGTGCAATCTTCTAATATATTGGAAATGGCTTACTATTGGACATCAATTTATATATACTAGCCTCTCTGCACGCACTTCCACGCATGTGAAAGGCCTTTCTTCAATCACGCAATGCCACCAACCATGTTCCGATGGCCATTCATTGGTCCTTGCTTGTGAATCATCGTTTCTGTGCCATGCAGAATTGGCTCTGTGGAAAAAGAAATAAAAGAAATCAGTGTAATTATCTAAAAGTGCTTCCTGCTGATATCTGATCCTAATGTTAAATTGGATTACTCATACATGTATCTGTGTGTGTCATATGTTAATGTTAATCATGTTACCATTCTCAGTCCAAATTGAAATATCATTATAGTTGTACTTGGTACTCATATGTGCAGTGTTGTAATGCTTGATTTATAGGTCAAATGAGAGTTTATTGCTTGAAATGACAATTTTATGTGTACCTGATGAGCACATGAATAATATTAGACGAAAATTTCGATTGAGATTGAGATTGGTAACAGTAAAATTTCGTCACCGCATTTAGCATATGACCCACACCACAAGAATGAGTTGTGGAACTTGGATTATGGGCATAAATCTATATTCAATAAAGTGTTGGAACACTTAATCTAGATAAGGGGACTTGGTACTAATTTCTTAGAGAAATAATTTTGCATATGCTAGTCAAAATCTATGCCATTAAGAAATAAATATCGGTCACCATGTAATGTGCACTAATAAGGAGACCAGTGGTCTCAGAATCCCCGTAGCACCTTGATAGTGTGTAAGTGTGAGAAATACCCTCTCTCTTAGAGTTTAGATTATCGCTTCTATTATAAACAAAAAACCAAACAAAGCAAGAATCTCACTAACTAGGGCAACCCCTCGTAAAGCAGAGGCCTCAGGGGAATTGAGAAGTGCAACACCAACGATGAGGCCCATTAAAAAAGCAATCTTTGCAAAGTTCATCTTCTATGATGGCAAAAAAACCTAATTAGCTAAGAAGCACTATTTTGAAAAGCTCTTACTACAAGTGCTATTGGATGAAATAAAACCACGGCAACTCTTGTTATATATAGAATTTTTCTGAGACAGGGAGATTTGAGTAAATTACAGTGCCAAACAAAATAGTCTAATAATATTAAATACTGCATGAGCAGTGTTAAAAATCACATTTCACTCAGTTTTTATTGATAATTTTCAGAAGATTTAAGCCCTCAAAATCCCCTGTAATAATGTTATATAATATGGCGCATTGCGGTGACTCTTCAATATTTCTTGAGTTTTCTAATAAAAAAGCAAAACTAACCTATTGCTAAGAGCATCTCCAAGGGAGATGTCAAATACCAAACATCAAATTTAAATTTGTGGTTGATATGGCAATTTGACATTTACACAGTTTTACACTCCACCCGATATGTCAAATAAATAATTATTGTAATAGTCAAATCATTTAAGATAAAGAAGAAAAAAATATAAAAAGGAAAATAATAAATGAAAGTAACAGCCAACTATCTTTTAAAATAATAAAATATTCATTTGACATATTGCTTTTGGGATGTCAAAAATAGCATCTCAACCTTCGGCCTTCATTCCACATCAGCTTTGACACATCGATTGGAGTGATGTGAGATGTTATTTCTAGCCGTTAAATGTCTATGTGGCACTTTTGACACATCGGTTGGAGATGCTCTAAGCATATATAAAGGCTTCGACCAAAGAACGATAAAAGAAAAAAAAATTAAAGGCAAAGAAGGAATCTCAAGTGGAGGAGAGCATAGGAAGTTTATAAGTTTCTTAAAAATTACACGAACACCCCTTAGGTCTTAAATTGTTTTCACAAAACCCATTTCCATTGATTTTTAGTCCAAAACTTAATAATTTTATATACAAAATTTCTTCAAATGACAAAGTTAGCCTTTAAGATTAGATTGCACATACATTCGTTGAGATTAATTTTGTTATTTGCAAAAGTTTTTATGTACGAAATCATCAAATTTTTGGATGTAGAATCAATGAAAAAAGGTTTTGTGAAAACAAATTGAAACCTCAAGAGATGTTTTGTAATTTTTAAAACCTTAAGGGGTTTTGTGAAAATACTGAAAACCTCAGGCAGAGTTTGTGTAAATAACTCAATTAAGAATCTACAAGGAATGGACTCGAACTTGAGTGCGAAGGAGGGGACCTGACAAATTAGCCTAACTTACATAATGCATTAATTTGATTATTATGTTTTACCATTCAATGTTTACCCAACTCCTTCCTCATGTTTCAGTTTACCCAACTTCCTTTGCCTTTTATTTTACAAAATTAAACTCTTCTTTCTCAGTTGTCATCGGTTCGGTGCTTTTTTAGGTATTCTTTTGTTTCTTTAAATTGTAAATATCATCAGGAAGTTCAGTTGGCCATTCCCAAACTATTCCATTCTCAAAATTTGTAAACACTTTTTCTCTCTTTTCGTGCGAATAAATAAACCAGTTGCACATTTCATCATAAGCTTCTTAACCATGAACATTGCAGAACATACCATAGAACCAAAACAGGCAACACACAAACGAATAATAAAAAAAATATACCCCTCCGAAAGTTTATTTATTTATTTACAATATACATAAATATGTAGAAATAAAGTTTATTAGAGTCATAAGATAAAATATGTACCATTTATGTCAACGCATGGATATCATCAAGGTCTCTTTTCTTCAAACATATTTGTTATAGTGGGATGTACAAGGAAAAAATGCTTCAAGGATCCCATATTCCTTCAAGAACAAGAAGGATTCCAAAAAATAAAAATAAAATCCAATTTATAAGCTATATAGGTAGATATTTACCACAAATTCTATTGGGTTGCCCTTCCTCCATAGTTCAGATTGGCTAACCTCTGTGAATGAATGGTCTGTGGATTGACTTTCCGCTTCATGAAGTTTTCACTACTCGAAAAACTCGAAAAGCAAGCGGGTGGGTCGACTGAACCTGAACTTGAGCCCTGAGCTTCCCAGCAAAGAGATCTTGTAATTCCCCCAATGGATGATTGAAGTTGAATATCTTCTAAATATAATCCTTCACATGGAGAGTCATCACTGCAAGCAAAACTTATTGCTTCTTCTGTAGCAGAAGTCCCTTTAACATGCACGAAGGATATATTCTCCACCTTTACTGCTGAACTCTGCATTTTCTCAGGATTCGGATGTTAGTATATTTTACATTGGATAGCTCAAAAAATATATGATGAGGGAGTAGTATCTAACGCTCTTTGTTTTGCCTGGACAATTAAGAACCCTCTCCATGCTAAGTATGATAAGAATTCCATACCTGATTTAGACATGGCAGCCAAGAGTCGCAGTAATATTGATCTATTATTATCGGATTTGATACATTGTCCATCAACACATTCCGGAATGCAATGTTAGAGGCAAAACCACTACCTCCCTGATGGTGTCAGAAAAACCAATTTCAATCAACTACATATTAGTTCAGATCAAGAGAAAAGAAAAGGAGAAAAAAGAAAAAAGGTACATATGCCTCGTGTGTGCATGTGAACAGAGAACTTAGAGAAGAAAATTACCTGCCATGTTTTGATCCTCACTCCATTGTCCGTGTTAGACAATAATGCTGCATCAACCAATACATCATGCACGTGTGACCAAGAGTTTGACTTTCCCAAGCTTCCAATGCTTAAGAAGGCATTTGAAAATTAGTAAGGTGTACGTATGATTCCCAGAGTGAAGCCTAAATGAAAGTAAATATTTACCTTATGCCATGACCAGGGCCACAAGCAATATTTATAATCCGGATTCGTGAAGAATTGCTGACTATTGAAATGCAGTCATCTCCTGGATTGAGTATAAGAATTTGATGTAAGATAATGAATGAGTTACAACTTACAATGCATATAGATATGCAAACTGGCACAAAAATCAACATCTAATTGCTAAAGGTAACAAGTAACAACCTTTTCTGCAACAACTCGAAAAAAAAAGATATAGTTCTAGGATCAAGAACACTGAATAGATTTAAATTTAGCAACAGTTTCCTTGGATAACTGACCTGTTCTTATTATGCTGTTCTTGACTTCAACGCCCCTTGATGCACTAATGTGGATTCCATCAGTATTGGGACTAACAGCAGGGGCCATCACCCTGAGATTGGATGCCACTACCCGCATACAGTTAGTGAATGCCATGTGCATTTGTTGACTATTGACAATCATAAGATCCTTGACCTTCAAATTCTTACACCTATGGAATGTAACAGCCTGGAATGTATTTAATATCCCAAATTAAGGCTACGAAACCATCAGAGACAAGAAACTTTCTCAAGTGAAATAACGGAAGTAAAATGAAAACAATATGAGAAGAAACGAAACACTGCTTGCTCATAAAATAAGAAAGCACTAACCGTTGGAGCATGTCGACATGGCTGCCACAAACAAGTTCAAGCTAGTTTTAGACAGATGCAGGTAGAATCGTCTTTAAATGAAACATAAGTTTACAGGGTCAAGAGAGCAATACATTTGTTGAGTTGGTCTTGCAAGACCGAGTCCACCACTCCTGTCCCATCCCATTGATTCTCCCTCCCCCTTCTAGGGTAAGGTGGTTCACTCCATGGAAATAAAGCCACTTACGTGGATTCAAACCAATCCAAGCATCCGGATCTTTGGGAGCAACAATGGTACCAGAGATCTATTAAGACATGCAGTCTTTTAAAGTGAATGCAGATATTTTTGAATGACAAATATCAACTGAACAATAGATACATTATCATCTAAATACTACTAATTAGAAGGGATGTAAGAGAATTGAATCATACCATTAAAGTAACCTTTGATCTACACGGTCCAGCAATATCGACAGGGTGGACAAGGTAAGTGCTTCCAACAGGAATTACAATTCTCATACGCATGGGCAATGAACAAGCTATCTCCCAAGCATTTTTGAAAGCCTGAAGGGAATGGGAAAAAATATCATTCCTGGACACGGGACTTCACTAATAGGTTTGTGCAAAATAATGCACAAGAATGGGGCCTGCTAAATTCTCACAAAATGAGGCTCCATAGCTATCTCATCAAGCATAAACGGCTGTCGATGTCCTACATAAGTTATTTATTAAGTGATTTAATTCTGCAGCAAACTTTGAATATCTGGGGATTTAATACCAAATTTCTTAAGTTAATCATGGTTCTACAAAATGAGCACAATTCAATTTCAGTTCAATTCACAATTCTACCTACCCACATAGACAATGAATTGTAATCACTCAGTTAATAAATTGACCATTGAAACAACACTAAAGTAGCAATGTCATCATTCTTATACCCAAAATTAGAATTTCCAAAACCAGAGAAAAGGAAAGAAAATGGAGACATAATTAGTAGATGATCAATATATACACATTAAAAGCTCAGCACAGAAAGAACTGAAATTTGTTACCTTAGAGTCATCAGTGATGCCATCTCCTTTTGCACCAAAATCACCAACAAAAAGAACCCTCTTGGATTTGGGTCGGGTTCTGGTCGACCCGGATTGTGGGAGCTGTAAGAAAGAGTCAAAATCTTCTCCATTTGCAGTATTTGAGCTACCCAGCAGAAAGAGCATGTGAATAAGAACAATTATACATTTTGAAGCAGTTGGGCAAGATCCAATGCTTCTCATTGTGTCAGAACATGGCAGACAGATCTGAAGATTTCCATCAATCTTAATAGCCCAGAAAGACACTAATGTAAGTTTTAATTTAATTACTCAAAAATGGAAGTGTCGGTCTTTGTTTATCGGATTATAAAAAAATAACAAAAAATAAAAAGTCGCAGGTTAATTTTTTATATATAAATGATGGTCCTTTTTGTTAGTATCTTTTTTTCTCTTTCTTTTTTAAATTATGTCGGCTTTGAATTTCTCCTTGATGAAATGTCAATCAACATGAACATCTTAGGTCATGTTGTGCGGGAGTGTGCAATATCAACGACAGACAACCCAATTATCACAGGAACCATGCTTTGGCAATCAGATATTCTCATTTTGATTGGGCTCAAATAACGGGCTTAACCCACGGGTTGGCCCAAATTGATATAGGATTCATCTTCAACTGAACATTAATTCATCGTCGACTCTCTCGTCTGCAGCTCCCATGGCTTCCACTTCCCGCAACACTGGCCTGCTATAGAAAGTGCTGCAACTCTCTCTCTCTCTCTCTCTCTCTCTCTCTCTCTCTCTCAGATTTCGACTCTGTCTTTACTGTCTTTCCTGGAGAATCCATTGAAGAGTTCCGATAACACTAAACTAGCGTTCACACCAAAGAAGCCACTGAGCAAGAGATTAGAATCTAGGAAGTTGAATTGGAAGCTTCCATTCAGGCCCTGGAGGTTTGTTATTTTTGCTTTGATTTCAGTTGTTACTTTTGTGCCTTCTTGGTTGATTTAATGTAGTTTTTTTTTCTTCCTGAATTAATTGTATTTGCCTGTTGTTTTTATGTTGTGAAATAGTGTAATTACTGATAATGTGGATGCAATTACTTAATTTTAAAAAAAAATCTAATTCACATTTAAGCATGATATTCCATAAGAATGTGGATGATTTGGGTAGTGCTTACTTTTATTGGTAATTTTAGAGATGGGTAAAAATGAATCAAGGAATCATGTGCTTTGCCTATCAATTCACACAAGGCAGGAAAAAAATTGACATTATAAAGCAAGCTGATCAAAATCATCTTTAACAGGCTTTCCTATGGTTAATGAATTTACTTCAAGGAATGTTCTTCCCATTGCTCTTCAGGAAAGCACTGGTCAAAAATACTCAATACAAAAGCTCCCAATAGTTATATTTGGAGACGATAATTGGTACCGTGAAATACACACTGGCTGCACCACTATATAAACAGTTTAGGCTCCATACCTGTTTTGTTTTAATTCAAGTGACACAGGAAACTATCTTGATTTCTGTAGGTTAGCATTGTGTCCCCACAATGCGCATTCATCGTTGATTTAATTCTGTTGATACCATACTATCCTATATCGCCTGTTAATATGTCCTGTTCATTAACAAACATGAAACATTTGCCTCACTCTATAATTTTAGTTTGAGATTGGAAGTCATAGATCTGTAATAGATGTATAATGCTCTGTAGCTATCTTGTGCTCTGAACTATATTGTTTTGCTCTTTTCTTATTAGAGCTTTATTGGAACTATTCAAGTGGGTGCTCTTTTGCATGCTTGTTATTCTTTTTCGTGTTACAAACATAAGACTGCTATTATTTTTTCTTCAGGTTGGAATCTTGAAACAGATTTGATTGCTTTTCGGTGCTTATGGGGGCAGATCAATTGTGTTTTATAACTGGTGCTGCTCCATGAGCATCATTCAGAATGCTTAGGCTGATATATCAAAATTTCAAGTGGTTTTAGGACTTATCTTACAGTCTATGGCCACTGCCTTCCAAAAGTGATTGCAGTTATTTCATCTTTCATTGTTTTCCTTCTTTCTTATTTGTTTTTATTTTTTTATTTTTTAAATTTTATTTAAAAATAATTCTAATTCTTGTGTATCACCCAAGGTTTCAGGCTGCTCAGGAGTGCATGCGCCTTGGACTACAAAATAGAGATATGTGCCTTGGACTATGAAAGTTGCATAGTCCAAAACTTAAAACCAATGCCAAAATTTTCATGTGTGCTTATTCTCTCTGTCCACTCCTAAGAAAACTCAAACCTATTACCTCTGTCCTATTTCACTTCTGTCCCAGGAACTACCATTCCCTCCCTTTTAACTACTTTTTTAACTCTTGCTCTTCTTTTTCAGACCTTAAGTGCATCCATGCTCTAATCTTCCAACATGGATCCAACCAAAACCTTCTCCTCTCCACAAAGCTTGTTACTTTGGCATCTTCCATGGCCCCTACCATGGACTATGCACGAAAACTGTTCGACACAATACCCGAAAGGGATGCATTTCTTTGGAACACTTTGATCAGGGGTTATGCTGATCGGGGTCCTTGCCATGAAGCCATAGTTTTGTACAGAAACATGCATCACAGTGGGTTGTCCCCTGATAACTATACTTTCCCTTTTGTGGTTCGCTCCTGCACAGTGCAGTTGGCTTTGAGGGAAGGGAAAGAAGTGCATTGTAACATTATTAAATATGGGTTTCATTCAGATGTGTTTGTTCAGAGCTCTTTGGTCAGTATGTATGCACAAAGCGGTGAAACTTTGAACTCAGAGATTGTTTTCAGTGACATGATTGTGAAGAACATAGTTTCTTGGACTGCGATGATAGCAGGCTATGTGCAAAATGGGTTCTATAAAGAAGGGTTATCTGTTTTGCGAGATATGGTTACTTCAGGGACCCAACCAAATGTGGTTACACTGGTCAGCATCCTCCCTGCTTGTGCTAGTTTAAAATTTTTGGATTTAGGAAAACTAATCCATGGTTGCGGAATTAAAGTTGGTGTTGACTCAGATATGGCACTCATGAATGCTTTGATTGCATTTTATGGTAAGTGTGGGAATCTTGACACGGCAAGATCTTTATTCAAAGGGATGGTAGTAAGAAACCTGGTCTCGTGGAATGCAATGATCGCGGCTTATGAACAGAACAATGCAGGGACTGATTCAATAAAGCTCTTTCGTAGGATGCAAACTGAAAATGTAGAGTATGATTATATCACAATAGTCACTGTTATTTCAGCCTGTGCTAGCTTGGGTGCACTGAACACTGGTAGATGGTTGCATGAGCTGGCTCGAATGAAAGGCTTTGGAACCAATGCTTCAATCACAAATGCACTCATTGACATGTATGCTAAGTGCGGGAATATAGACCTGGCCAAGGATGTATTTCAGGGATTGCCTCATAAAAGTGTTGTGTCCTGGACATCTATAATAGGGGCATGTGCATCTCATGGTCATGGGGATGATGCTCTTGTGCTTTTCTCTATGATGAAAGAACAGGGTACTAAACCAAATAGTTTCACTTTCACTGCTGTTTTGACTGCTTGTAGGCATGCGGGTCTAGTAGAAGAAGGGAGAAAGCACTTTGAGAGCATGATTAAAGACTACTCGATCTCCCCTGGTGTAGAGCACTATGCTTGTATGGTTGATCTTCTTGGTCGTGCTGGTTGCTTGCTTGAGGCATATAAGTTTATTGAGACGATGCCGGTTGAGCCAGATGCAGGTGTGTGGGGAGCTTTACTAAGTGCTTGCAGGATACATGGCAATGTTGAGCTAGCCGAACTTGTGGCAGGCTGCCTATCCCGTTTAGATACTCAAAACTGTTACATCCTACGTTCTTATGTCAAATATATACGCTGAAGCTAGTAGGTGGAAAGACAAAGCTAGGTTGAGGAACTTGATGAGAAAAAAGTTGTTGAAAAAGTTACCTGGGCAAAGTTTTGTTGAGGTAAATTGAAGATTTTATGCCTTTCTTTCAGGTTCAAGATCTCCGGCATCTTGTCTGACTTAAATTAATTGGGTTTTTTTCATCACTAAAGATCCCAGTCATATTTTTTATGAAACAAAATAAAATTACAAAGATCCCGAGGAATTCCAATATTCCGAATTTATTTAACAGCTATAGAAGCCAGAAAATTAGAAAATCAAACAGATGGTTGTGCAAATTCATGCCCTTCAGCATATGAAGCGGACTGTATATGTGTAGAAACGTGTTTTTAATTAAATTCTTAAAGAAACAATTTTGCATGAGCTAATCTTATGAGAATATTACTATAACGGTACATTAAGCCAATTACACATTGCCATATGAGGAAGTATAAACAACCAGTAGTCCATAATTGACTTGAGATACATCTCAAATCTAAGGCATGAAACAATTAAATGTGCCTTTAATAATACTTAGATGCTACAAACTACAGATTAACGTGAGAAAACCAAGAATCTCACTAGTTGGTGTAGCCTCATATAACTCGCGTGCAGAGGCCTCATAAGAGTTGTGAAGTGCAATGGTAATAGCCAGAGATATGAGAAAAACAAGCCTTTGCAAAGTTCATGTTTTATGACAACAAAAGAAAGTCCAAGACAAACGACTAGGGAAGCACTATTTTGAAGACTTTTTATTATAGCTAAAATGCTTTTGGAAGGTGGTTCATTTATACTCTAATGCAAAACTAACTAATCCAACAATTAATTCATAATGCTCAAGGACTATTTAATTACTTATCTAACATCCCATCAAATTTTTTGTGGTACATGTAAGGTAATCGAGTCTTAATTGTAATATTATCAGGAATTTTTTTGGAATAAATATTAAAAACGGAAATAAAAACCAGCGTATAGCAGGGCGGAGATACTAGCCGCGCGGCTATACTATTTGCTTAAACAAAGAAAAAAAAAAGACCTAGTATGGCCGCACGGTCGTACTATTAATTAGAAAAATAATAATTTTGGCTAGTTACAACTGAAAATTTTGGCCATTTACAATAATTTATTTTAATATTTTAGTATATTTTATTTTTCATCAATAATATGTTAAAATTATGTGTATAATAAGTGAAGTTTGTGTGTATTATTGAAAATTTTGTAAAATAAACGTGTATTAAACATGAAAAACATACGTTATTTTATGTTTGCTTTTTATAAAATTAAAAAAAAAAAGTGAATTTTACCGAGTCTTTAAAAAAAAACGGAGTATAGCCTCTTGACTATACTCTTAATTTGAAAACAACTAAAAAGTGATGAAAACAACTAAAAAGCTTAATTTCCTTCGTACATGATTGAGATTTCCTGAAGAACCCCATACTTAAGTTTCACTCATAACCAATCAAACTAAAATAAAATAAAATTCATATCACAAATATTCCATCGTTTTTGCTCCCCTTCTTTGTTGTCTAAACCTTTTACATCGTTTTTGCTATCCTAATTCCACCGGAATCTACGTTTACCAAGCCCTTGCTCTAAGATTAGTACTCTTTCTCAACGGTTTACCAAAACCGCCACAAAAGCCGCATGCAGAGACCTTTGGCGACGGAGGTTCGATAGCTGGCGTGACCTTCCCAGTCCTGTAGCCACGTCCCCCACCGTTGGACCTGCTTCTACTGACGGTGTTGATGGGTTTAGGTGCCCGAACTCCCTCTATAATGTCAACGTTCTCTTGGTCTTGTCGTGCTCTTCCTCCTCCTTCTTTTAGCAGCGGTGCTACTTTGTCTACAAGCTCTAGGTGCCTGTCATCCCACACAAACCCTGAAGAGCCTTGCCTCCTAAATGACACCGAAGATCTTTGCAACCCAGCCATTGCCTCTGAGCTCTGTGTTTCTCTGTAGATCCTTGCAACTTTATTGAGGTCGATATTTTATAAGACTAACTTGAATAATTTTGAATCTAGGACATAAACAAGATGTTATGTGCCTGGCTTTTCTCAAGTATTTATATGAAGTGGAGATCCCAAACACTGGGTGCAATAGAAAAGGTCATAAAATTGCAGCTCAGTTATTTCCCGTTTCTTCTAAAAAATAAAGGGCAAGTCAGTCAATATTGTATGTTTTCTTCATTATTGTAATTATTAAAAAATTATTTAACTCAAAACTTTCCTTTATTTTTTATTTGTTAACTCATGTATTAAAAGTTTGTCATTAACTTGTACGATAAGTTTATATATATTTTTAATGAATTTATAAAAGTATTAGGATTATATCTTGTATAATAATATGGTCAAACAAAATTACCATATCTTTTAATTTTATATTATTAATGATAATAAGGACGTGACGGAATTTTGTTTGTCCACAGCGGCTGACCTAGCTTGGTCGTCAAGACCGCCTTGTTTTGATGCCGTGTTCAATCATTAGGAGTTTTTTAAGTGTATGACTTCATTTTTGGCGCCAACTAATCAATGATTAATTAATGTTTAATTTATATGAATGATGAAGACGATATATATATATTTGTGATAAGATGAATATTGAATCATGGCTAAGATCATATGGATGAGCTTGGCTTTCTATTCTCTATTACCACTGCCTTCCAAATGTGATCGCAGTTTTATTTCATCTTTCCTTGTTTTACTTCTTTCTTACTTGTTTTTTCTTTTATAAAAAAGAATTCTAATTCTTGTGTCTGACCCAACGTGTCAGGCTGCTCAGGAGTGGATATGCCTTGGACTACAAAATAGAGATATGTGCCTTGGACAATGAAAGTGGCATATATATACATATCCCAATACTTAAAACCAATGGTTAATTTCGATTTAGTACCTTGAACTTTAATCTTAAGACACGTTTGTCCTTGCATTCTCAATTTTAATGATTACATACCTTAAGCTTTTCAATTTTTTGCAATTTGGTTTTGACGTTAACTCTAACATCAAAATTTCCGTTATTGCTTGTCTGACATGCATGGGTCTCACCTATTCACTTATTTCAATGCCAGTTGAAGAATATTTTTGGGTAATTGGTGTCTTCCCTCCTATAAAGAACACATTACACACATTAATACCAAACCTTTTTTTTTAGTTATAACAAAATACTCTTCAACTGACATTGAAATAAGTGAATAGGTACTCAGGCTTGTCGCGCAAACAATTAACAAAGATGTCGACAATGAAGTTAATGACGGAACCAAATTGCACAAAATTGAAAAGCTTAGGGATTGCAATCATTAAAATTGAGAATATAGGATCAAACGTGCCTTAAAAGTAAGAGTTCATGATACTAAATTGAAATTAACAATAAGAACAATGCCGAAATTTGTGACAGTTCGTGATCGATGGCCGCATCCAGCACATCAGTTTGTTAAAGAAGACCTCATCCAAAATGCTAACACTTTGCACATTTTCTTCTGTGGAAAAAAAAATATATATGTGCAAAGAAATCAATTTTAGAGAATTTATTTCAACAAAAAATATGTTTTTAATTAAATTCTTAAAGAAACAATTTTGCACAAGCTAGTCTTATGAGAAGAACTTTTATGTAACGAGAATATCACTATGACGGTATATTAAGCCAATTACGCGTTGTCATGTGGGAAAGTATAAACACCTAGCAGTTCATGATTGACTTGAGATACCTCTCAAATTTAGGGCATAACGCAATTAAATGTGCCTTTAAGAGCACCTCCACCCCAAAGGGCAAGGGCAAGGCAAGATAAGGTTTGTCACTATTCACGTGAATAGTGGCAACTCTTGCATTTTTTGTTTCCACCCCAAAGGGCAAGGGCAAGGTTAATTACTATTCACATGAGATATTAGGACATGAATTTGTATAGAGTTTTTTGTGTGGGAAGTAAAGAATATGGCTAGGTATTTATAAATAAAAAAATAGAATTTTTAGTTTTTTTTATAATTTTTTTTGGGTTCATTGTGTCATTTTGCCCAGGCAGCAGCTCGGGCTGAATTTGCAGTGGGCATGCTTGGGCTCGTGGGACCCAACCCTTGCCCAACCTAGACCTTGCGCGTTGAAAGGGGTTTTGGGGCCTGGGATTGCCTTTTGCTCGGACTGGACCCAAGCGCTGGAGGTGCTCTAATGAATGCTTAGATGGTATAAACTACAAATTAACGTGACAAACCAAGAATCTCACTAGTTGGTGTAGCCTCATATAACTCGCGTGCAGAGGCCTCATAAGAGTTGTGAAGTGCAATGGTAATAGCCAGCCACGGATATGACAAAAAAGGCCCTCGCAAAGTTCATGATTTATGGCAACAAAAGAAAATCCAAGACAAACGATAAGGATTTAAAGATCTTTTTAATAGCTAATGCAAATCCAACTAATTCAACAATTAATTCATAATGCTCAAGCACTATTTAATTACTTATTTTCCATCCCATCAACTTTTTTGTAATATTATGAGGATTATTATTATTATTATTATTATTATTATTATAGCCCAATGTGTTTGGTGAACTACGGTTTAGTTTTCCATGACTTTGAACAATAAGATATTAAACACAGAAATAACCTTCTTTTACCATAAAAGAGAAAAAATCTAAACCCTTTTTATAACTTTTTTTAAATATCTTTGGCACCCAAAATTTTATTTCCTTTTGTCTTTCATGTCTCGTTTTAGCTACTATTTAAAATATAATTTGGATTTATAATTGGAGTTTTGAAACGGTTTCATTGTCATAGGTTATGTTCAGACCTTTAGATTTTACAATAAGGATATTTGTTGAAATGTCACATGAACTTATACATTAGTTTCAATTTGTCACCTGAACAAAAAATTTAAGCGAAATGTCACATGAATTTTTCAAAATCTATAATTTGTCATCTGATTTTAACATCATCCAATTTTCCATCCATAATTAAGGGTATTTTAGTCTTTTCATTTTTCATTACACAAGCCTTTCCTACCAAACATTAAAAAAATTAAAAAATGCATTTTTTTCCATCCCCTGTCGTCTCTCTATTCTCCCTCCCTCCCCAACCACACATTCCCTCTCCACTGTTTATTTTCTCCCTCCAAGACCTGAGCATAGAAGGGATGGGCTGCCATATCTGCCAAGTTGCAATCAAAACCACATTGATAGAAAAATGAATAAGTGATTCTTGTAAATTCTTTTGCAAACTAAATGAAATAAGAAACTGCAAAGGAGATTTAAAAGGTAAAGCAATCAATGTGCTGGATCACCTTGATGGAGCAGTGACATAGTAGGCAAGACCACCAACTGGATCACCTAAATGAAATATTTAGACTCCTGCCACTTCCCCAACAAATTCACGAAGAAATTCCTACCATACCTCCTGTAACTATACAGAGAAATAGAGGAGAGGGGAGTGTTTTTTTTTTTTTTTTTTTTTTTTTTGGGGGGGTGTGGTTTTGATTGCAGCTTGGCAGATATGGCAGCCCATCCCTTCCATGCTTCAGGTCTTGGGGGGAGAAAAAAAACACAGAGGAGAGGAGAGGTGTGGTTGGGGAGGGAGGGAGAATAGAGAGAGACGACAGGAGGATGGAAAAAAAATGCATTTTTGAATCTTTTAATGTTTGGTAGGGAAGGCTTGTATAATGATTTTTATTTTATTTTTAAACACTCTAAAAATAAAAAGACTAAAATACCCATTATGAATGGAAAATTGGATGATGTTAAAGTCAAATGACAAATTATAGATTTTGAAAAGTTCAGGTGATTTCATTCTTCAATTAAAATTTTAAATTTTTTTTTTTTTTTTTTTTTTTTTTTGACAAATTGAAACTAAGGTATAAATTCATGTGACATTTCAACAAATATCCCTTTACAATAACTTAAATTAGAGTCCTCACATGATCTAACATAAAATAAAAATTCTAAACTTTTAAGTATATGCGCAAGTATCATATTAATTTTTAATTTTTATTTTGAACCAATTATGGTTTTAGCGGTTACTTTAAAAATCCAAATAAAAAAGCCGCGAAAACCCAAAACCCGAAATAGATAAAAGATTTTCACTTTCTCAATTTTTATCTCCCACGCCTAATCTTACACTGATCGGCACCATCCCTCGTCCCGCTCATCCCTTCCTTCGACGACAGACACATCCAATAAACACCAGAATGCGCTTCCAGGCTTCTAATTAGAGTAAGCACCAGCCCATAAGAAGCCCAAGGATTATAATTCATGGTCGCCAACTCTTGAAGCAGTGAGTTCCGAATCTTCTGCTTCTTTGAATTTTGTGGGTTGCAGTTGGGTTTCAGTTACTGGATGTGGATTTCCCTCTTTTATTTTCTTCTAAATTTTAAATTCTTTTCGGGGATTAATCTCTCTCTCTCTCTCTCTCTCTCTCTCTCTCCTCTCTCTCTCTCTCTCTCTCTCTCTCTCTCTCTCGCTCTCTCAAAATAGATGCTCATTGAGCAACCCACAATCTAAAAGTGGGATCTTTACTTCTCAATCTCAAAACCCATTAATTAATTTTAAAAAATTATTCAAAACCTCTGCCTGTGGTGAGTTTTTGACCTGGGTTAATTGGGTACTTTAGGGTCTCAATTTTATGTGCCTACCTGTTTGATGAAATGTTTCAATGAATGCAGGTCTTTTAGGGAGCACTCATTTCGATCGCCTCATTTTTATGATGTATGGAACAAAAGCCATCCAACTGGTCAAAGAAATTGCAAATGGCGAAAAGGGGCAGCTCACGCCTTTCAGTGTACAGAGAGAACTGCCCTGTTTCAAATTTTTATCCGAATTTCCCTAATTTCTATCTGTTTTTGTCAAGTTATATGTCGTATCCTCTAATTTGATATATCTTGGCTTCATCTTGTAGAGTGATGTATTTAGTGAAGTAATTGCAGAATGTAGTCAACACTTTGCTGACCTTCGATCCTTGATAAGGTAACACAATTTTGAGTTTTTCCTATTGTAATTGGTTTTTTTTTTTTCATTTGCATTCCACAGCAGCAAATCACATGATCAATCTCACCTGAGATGATGAAGTCGTTCAGATTACCTGGTGTTGTGGTTGTGCTGGTGCTATAACTAAGGGGACTTTTCTGTTGTTTAATAGCTTTCGCAAATCATTTTCAACATTGAGCATCTAATATGTCAGTTAGTAATTATTTATGTTTATGTGGTCCCTGAAAGTCTTCCAGTCAACACAATATATTGCACGTTTTACTTCCATATGTCTAAATCACAGATGATGATTTCTGTAAATGACTTCCTGTAACAATGTTTTATGATTACCTCATGTAACTCAGGCTTTATTGTATGCCTAGTCAATTTAATATATTCTTTCTTTGAAATTTTTTGTTTTCCTAACTTTACAACTTACTGGAAAAAAAAAATCTGTGCCAGTCAAGACATTCAGACAATGAATATGACATTTACAATTTACGACATTGCAAGTCATTTTTTCATTACACTGTTTTGTTGATTGGTGCATTACTTTGTTGAGCCAGTCTTTAACATTTTTCAGCGTGGACTTAGGTTGTCCCAAGATACAGAGTTGGATTACAAATCATGTTGTAATAGGGGCATTTTGGCACTTGCCTCAAGAATTCAGTTATAGTGTCATATATTTGGTTTTGAGAACTCCCGTTTCATGTATTGATTAAAACTGTGCATCTCTTTGCTTTCTGTCTACAATTCCATATGCATGATATATCTTTTGGCTTGAATGCTCAATCAACTCACATATGACTTGATGTTGCAACAGAAAAATGCAGGAAGCAGGATTAGATGTCGAAACAACTAAGGATGAGGACCACTATGGGCAGCTCATTCACCACCTCTCTTTAGTTCGCAATAAACGCTGCTTGATGGCATATATGTAATGTTTTTATCTGTTGTGTTATTATATGATTATGCTTCGTTGTAGTTGGTATATTTTAAGTTCACATGGTTCTTATAAACATGCAGGTACAACCGAGCAGAAATTTTACGAAATCTGGTATGGAAGGTCGGGTCTGACATTCCAGAAGAAATTCAAGAGAAGCTTAGTCACTCAGAGAAAGAGTACTTTAAGAAACATTCAGAAGCTTTAAAATCATATATGTCGAGAGTGGTTCTCGAGTTGGCAGTGGTAATCTCTCTCTATATACTCGCAATTAAACTTCATAGTAAAATAAACACATAGGTTATCGAGTCCTTCTCTTTGATATTTAGATGTTTGTGAATTACAACTAAGATGGGTTGCTGATTCAATGGGCATGTTCATAATTGGAATGATTCAAGCTGGATGACTGTTTGTTGTTAAAAACTGGAAAGTACTGTACTTTAATTGAGTGGCACAATGGAGATGTTATAATGAAAATGATTTGAGAAACTTGACTCTTGGTTATTAATGACAGAAGTTTCATTATCATTCTGAGTTCTTGTGTTTTCCAGGATATGGTGCCCCCAAAAGATCCCTACATCAAGGTGAGAGTACTCGATGACATGGGTGAAGTAGAATTACCAAGCGATAATACAGCCAATTTTGCTCGTCACTCCATGCATTTTCTTAAACGAACTGATGCTGAGAAATATATTTCACTGGTATGTTTCATTTACATGACAGCTTGATCCTCATCCACTTCGGTTTGTTAAAATCCTTGCTCTCTAACTACTATCCTGGACTAATAGGGCAAGATGGAGGAGCTCACAGGCTGATTTAATTGGCTCAATCTGCTAAACAGTTCCTCGGACTCCGTACTATGCTGTATACTATTCTGTATACTATTGTATCATGTTCAGTTTGTGGTTAAATTAATAACTGTTTTCTTAATTTATCCTTAATAATGTAGCTTTCCGACTATATTAGCATAAACATGTCGTGTGTGGCAGTTCCCTGCACAAATTATGTTAATGAAGTTGACGGTTTAAGTGCTTAGATTTTACTTATACGTCTTTGACGAATGCATATTATTGGTTAATTTGGGTCAACTTCTATGATGAGTGCAACTTTACTGTGCTTAGAGTTATTGTCTAACACTTTCAGATACAGAAACAATACATGGTAGCAGATCATTTGGTTGATTTGGGTTCAAAGTCTGAGTTAAATAATGTTAAACCAATTAGCCCTTAATTAAGAACCTTTTAGTTCACTTATCTTACGGCTATATTGACTTGCTTAAACATTATAAACCAAGTGGCCTACTTCTGTCTCTGTTTTTGGCATGGTTAAATTGCTTCTGCTTGAGATATCGCATCTCACTTTCTTTGATTGTAGTTCACTTAATGCTTGAAGTATAAGCTTTTCCTCTGCATAAAACTGAGAATATTTAAAAAGTAACAATGGCATAATGCCAAAAGATGAAATCGATAAACATTAGGATCTCTAATTTTGTAGATTCTAGTTGAATTCAGATTCCAAATTTACTGAGATTCAATCAGGCTTTCAGTTTGATCGAGGCCATCTTCCAAATTGAGAAAAGTGGACTGCCGATCATATAAATACATTTCAAAATTGATGGAGTCCGGATTGAACTAAATACTTTGATTGACATGTAAATCTCAATGCAAGATCTTGTAATTTCCACTGAAGAAGCTGCAAGATTATGACCTTTTGTGTCTACGACTACTGCTACCACTGCTGCTGCTGCTACCTGATTTTGAGCCCTCAGATACACAAGCATCAACAGCTCCTAAAATCTGACCTTCAAATTTATGGCCTTTAAGGGAAGCCCTTATCTTCCTAACCACTTGCTTTTTCATCACTCTGCGCTCTGCCGTAGAAAGGTGCTTACACTTATCTATGCCCTTCAGAAATCCAAGCAAGGTTTCCCCAGACCCCGCACTAGCCTTTTCTATTTTCACAAGCTTCTCCACCACTAGCAAAGAAAACATGAGCTCTATGCAGGATTTGTTTCCGAGCTCCACAATATCTAAGAAGCACCGCATGTTCACTTCCCGGGTCTTCATTGATTTGCTCTCCAGTGATTGAACCATCCTCTCTATGAGACCCATCTTAAGGATTTGGTTCAAAACGAGAGCGCCACCACTTCCAAAAAGCATCTGGTGTAGTGCTGTGTAGGCTGCATCCTGCAATTCTGCAATGCTGCAATGCATCATCTTAACTAGTTTGGGTACAATATCATACTCTAGAAACTTTTTAATGCAGGGTTCTCCACCAGAGCAAGCTAGCTTCGTCAATAGAAAAGCAGATTGAGAAATCATTGAATTTTGTTCATACTGTCCGGGCTGCAAGAGTTCGGAAAGCCGTTTGATTAGTGGACTTTTTGTAATCATGTCTCTGAATCCTGGTTCTCCTGCTTTCTCCACAACTGGTATGAGATCTTGCATTGCCTCCAATACCATCTCGTTATCTCTGTCTAGTACCTTATGAATGACATCTTCAAAAGTTTGCGACTTCGGTAGAAGGGGCACATTTTGATCTTTCAAAGCAAATCTTTCCAAATAATGTCTAGCTTGCCATGGCAAAACGTTTAGATTTGTGGGTTCAAGAGACCTTAACACATGAGGGCCTCCCAACTCATAAAATGCCTTCAATGCAACTATGGCATGATGTTGAGCTACTTCAGATCCATTCGCAAGGAGCAAAAGAAGATTCTTATCAATCTCAAAAGCAAGCATTCTCTCGACGGCTTTCGATTTCCCAGATTTGGTTAACGACATCAATATGGTAAACATGCTCTCATGCCATTCCTCAGCAGTTGGAGAGAGCAAATTGGCCAAACGACTGAATGGAATGCTCCAGAGCACCTTCTCGACTGTGTTTGGGCTTCCGAATTCTGCAAGCTTTGCGAGGACAATTGAAATATCTGTTTGGATCAAAGGGTCCTCACAAGTTTCTAAGATTATTGTCAACTTGCTGACTGCACCAGTAGCTTCAAGGGATGGAAAATAATTGCAATAATCATTCTTGCTAAATACAGTGGTGATGGCCTGTGCAGATACAGCAATCAGACTCTGTGATTCTGTAGAGATCAGGTCTGCAGTCCTAGGACCCAATAAGCTACTAAAGCTTGCTCTACTTTCTTCAAGTTCAGAAATGGATTTGCTAGCCATTAGAGCCTGGATAGAGGCCTTTAATGTGATAATCACCTGCTTTTCCTCAAAAGCATTGAGGAAATGCACTATTTTCTTTTCAGCAAAACTTTTTACTTTCTCTTTCCCAAATATAAGAAGCCAAGGGCAGATGAATGCAGTTTCTTCAGGTGTGGATTCATTTAGTAGTATCTCCACCGAATCGTTTGACTTGCTACCAAGGTACAGAGCCACCATGTCATGTACCAAGTATAAGGGATCTGTATCGATTTTCATAAGCAAAGAGCCTTCAACAAGCTTGCATACTATGAGAGGGAACAAGGTCTCCTGCCCAAGAACTGACCAGACAGCCTCAACACAAGCTTCTGGTACAGGTTCTACCCATGAAAGAGCCGATAGAGCAATGAAGAGCTTTCGAGAGTCTCCAGGCATTGCATCTAGACTGAACTCAAAGGACCCAAAAATGGTTACTGCATTCTCAGCTTCTTTTTCGTTCACATACGATACAGGACCGGGTGCACATGTAGCGAAGGTGGATAAGTTGGTGATGGCCTGTGCCCATTTATCAGCTCTCATTTCTTTTCTGAGAGCCTTTCCCATAACAGCAACTGTCAGAGGGTGGTGGCCACAATGCTCTAGTAAGCTTTCCGCTACATGCTACATATAGAATAAGAACATTCCAACAAATAAGTGAAGAAAAACTGGAAAATTGATGGAAGAGCACATAAAGAACGTGGATGCATCTGAGGCTTAATCAATGTTATTCAACTACATCTCCACCTTTTACAAATACGACTGCAGGCTTGACTATAAGATCATGTAAAATCTCTATAGGAACCACACAGAAAACATATATGCATCAACAATATAATGGCTGAAAAATTGTGACAATGCAATTTAGTAATTTTGCAGAAATAGAATTGTAGCGTAATGTGATTCATACCGGTAACTCTTCTTTGCCTAGGAGGCTATGGTAGAGAAGAACTTCCATGCTTATCTCCTTTATGTCGTCTTTGCTTAGTTCCACCTTTTCAGCTTCTGTTATTTCATAGACAGCTTCATTTCTTGTTGTGACAAGGTACTTGCAATCATTATCATATAACTTTGCAAATCTCTCAATGATATCCTGCTCCCATACATCATCGAGAAGAATAAGAATGCTCTTCCCATACAAGGCTTGTTGAAGCAAACAACCAATATATTCAAGGTCTCCAGAACATTCATCCTTAATCTTCTTCCAAAATCCGATCTGCACCAGAAATTTACACAGTTTTCTTGCCAAGCGCCTCTGGTATTCACCTATACTTCTGTTGCAAGCAGCTCTACTGCACCATTGGCCAAAAGCAAGTTCAACTGCACCATCCATGAATTTCTCTGGAGGATCAGAAGCTACTTGACGAGCCAAAAAAGACTTCCCAATACCAGATAGCCCAACAATTAGAATGACTCGATGAGAACCATCTTGTTCCAGTAAATCCCTCACAAAATAACATTTACTCGAAACTGGGTAGCCTTGTTCGGTCTTGATTTTCAGTTGAACTGAGGTGTCTTGTGCAGTTGATTCTATTGCTTTCTCAACATGGTGAACCATTGTTTGAGAATCAAGCCACCAATTCAAGTCATCCCTTATTGAGTTTACTAGTCTCTCAAGTGGATCTCCAGCCATAGAAGTCCAAACTACCTTAGCTATGTTCTTAACCTTATTTTTTGACACCATTCTCCTGGCCTTGCTGATATTTGGACGTAGGCGTTCTATCAGGGAATTCAAGCTTTGGATTTGGTAATCTAATTGAGGATTATGAAGCTTGTTGACATGTTTTTGCTTAATTCGGCGACTCAAGTTTTCAAGATCACAGACAAATTCCTCTAAGCTCCGAATTCTCTTTGGAGCTTCATCGAAATTTCTAGATGCTTGTTCTAATGCAGATATAGCACTTACCATGCTTGAAACTATCTGTGTTGCAGAAGCAATAACTTGCAGAGCATCCATTGCTACTCAAAACCGTATGCTACCAAATTCTACATGTATTTTGTCAACTAAATACACATTCCCACAGAAGGATTCCCAGTGATCAATGAGATGTTAGAGGTTCCTTAACCTTATTTCTGATCATTGGGAACACATTCTCACCGAACTTTACTGACTTTTCCAACCGTCTATCTAGAGACTCTGTGAGGCAATTGATTCAAGGAGCACACTCAATCAGCAAACAATTGAGACGAAATATCCTTCACAGATTAAATCAAGATTCATTTAGGGAAAAGAAATGTCTTTGACTGATGCTTGCCAAACTGATCCATCAAATTTAACCAAATTGCAATCAGACAACATAATAGATAAACCTGGGACTTCAAATCCACATCTTTTTGCACCAACTCCCATTAATTCCAGAGCATAAGCAATAAGAATAAAGAAAGCAACCAAAATCCATGAAAGAATAAAAACCCAGTTTTCATTTGAAGGAAATGAATGAACTTTCAATCCCCCAAACCATCCAAAACTATCAATTCCAGTTCATTAAGCTCTTAGAGTCAAAACCCAGTTTCAAAACCAGCAAAATAAACAAGCAAGCACTTTGAACATTCAAGAATTTTTTTAACAATAAAGCATGCACTAAATTAAGTAAAACTTGAGAAAGACAATACTATTACCTTTTGAAGGCTTTGAATTGAAGAATGAAGATGTTAATGGTAACAATAATACCAAAATAGTGAATGGTGAATTAGCTTGAGATCTATTTAACATATCCAACTCTGTTCGTCAAAGAGCACAAATTTAAAAATAAAAATAAGTGTCAAGGAAGATGATGCACGAAGGAGACTCCTGCGCCAGATTCCAGGAAGTAAACTTCAACACTTCTACAGTTCAGAAGTCAACTCAACTGCACTTTCCTAAAGAATGATTCTTTGATGAAATTTCAGTGGGGAAAGTTGCAACTTTGTTTTTTTTTTTTTTTTTTTTTTTTTTTTTTTTAGTTTGTTTTAAGGTTTATATATAAAAAAATTTCGCTTTTGAAAAAAGCCAAAGCTTTTTCAAAAAAGACAAAAAAACCGCTAAACTTTCAAATCAAAGACATGCAAATATATTGAATTCCTTAGGAAATCTAAAAATAAATAAGGGCATTTTTTTTCCATTTTTGCTTCTTTTAAAATTTTTCTCTCTCCTTTTGCTTTTTCTAAAATGTCCCTTTTTTTTTTGGTCAGAAGTGGCAACTTTGGTTGCCAATGAAATTGCAGCTTGGCAGGTGGGAATGAGGGATTAGCATTTAGCAATCAGGCTTTGGTATGGGCATAGTGATCATCTTTGGTCTGGTTTTTATTCGAAAAGGGCCTTAGACTTTTCAACAAAGGCACATTTTGTCTTTCACTCTATTTACCAAATCATTTTGTCTTACTTTTAGCCACCTCTTGTAAGAGTATTTCCACCCAGTAGCCTAGTCCAGGCAAAAAGCTTCAAGGTTTCAAAATCCATTTCCAGCGTCCAATTTTTGTCAGGACTAGAGATAAGCTCCACCAATCTGGACAAGGCCTAAGGTCTGAGCTCCTGTCCGCTGGCTGTGACGAAGCGTACAAATTAATTTTTTTTTTCCTTTGGCACATGACGTACATGTGGGATCGCGCACGTCACGCATACCAACAGTAAAAAAATTGAATTTTAATTTGCTAACAGCTCTACAGTGGCACCAATTGCACCATGCCATTCCGCCCCTGCACCCAATGTCACAACATCTTCTAAAACAAATACTGGTATAATAATCTAATAAAAGGTTTGTCCACCACATAAGAACAATGGTTAAGATATCCGAAGCTTATTAAAAACAAAATGACATTAGCGATCCAGAATCCATGAATTTGCATGCACACTCCATGAGAATTGATGTAATGTAGAGGGCATTTAATCTAAATATAATACATGATGTATAAGATTATGTGAAGGCATTCAATTATATAAGATGGTTGCTTTGATTGAAAAATGAAATTATAATAAAATTAATGTCGCAGATGTGGATATAACAATAATAGTAATAATAATAATAATAATATAGATGGCCACATTTTTTTTTAATACAAGCGAGGGTGGTATTCTCACAAACACTGTCAATGTGTCATAGGAGCTCAAACCTGAGACCACTGGTTTGCAAGTTAATGTCCTTTTCCATTAAGCTAGACCCCGTAAGTATAGATGACCACTTTTGGCTAGATATGTTTGTAAACTTAATATTGGGCAAAACCATAAGAACCCAATACATGACCGAGATCTTGAACTTCATGATTTTCACAATAACATTACGCGGAAATTCAATTAGACTTAAATTACATACATACCTTGAATGATTAGTCTTCTACCATATCAAGATATTTGCCTTGAGCGATCCGTAGGCGAGCCGTCAGTGTGGAGGAAATAGATTTCTCTCTCTGGCCTTTTGCACGTTTAGAAAACCCTAATCCGTGTCTTCATCAGTGTACACATAAGATGGGTATGTGCACTATTATAGGCAGAGAGAGGACCCGTTTCCTAGTGAAGCCCATAATCAATTACCACCCATCACGGTAATAATAGGAAACTACTTCTCTTTATTTGACCAATATAATTATTCTGAATAATATTTATTAAACCAATTAAACAATTTATTTACCACATAGGTCACTTCATGTGGGCCACACAATATTTATAAAATATTCTTACATTCTCCCACTTGGCCCATATGATAAATTTACTTTATGGTTCAATAAATAAACATTAGGCGCGCGATACATTCAGAATAATCCTCACTTTCATATGGTCGACATAAATACCACATTTAAGCAAATGTCTAATGCGAGTCATGGCGGTTATGCATCAATAAGCGATACAGTCCCTTCCATGTACCACAACATTAGCAAATCGCCTAAAACAGTCCATAAGTGAGAAGTATCATAAAAGGTCCAATAATGTCTTTGTCAGAGACTACTCCTGTTATCATTCATCCAATCTCATTCATGTATACATATAAGGGAAAACAAGATATAACAGAAACATATTCAATTATTGAGCTCAGAGTGTCAAAATAAATAAACTGTCATTATGCAAACCACAACTTCATAAATACTATCATGGTTTATAACCAAGAACAGTCCTCTGAATATAACTATTAATGTCTTTGGCCAGAACCTTTTACTTGGTTTGCAAGCATAAGTTTTGTCTTTATAGACACTCTTTGTTTCTGAACCTCCTTAATGACAAGGTATTTAATTCCACTATGTTTAGCACTCTTAGAACACTTGTCATTCTTGGAGAAAAGGACAATTGCGGTATCAACATAAATTCTTAGCGGTGTGGCAATAAAACATAAACACCAAGTCCTAAGATTAAAACCCGCAACTTCAATTCATCAACTATGGCCTCAAAGCAAACCATATATGCATAATGAATTCTCATTGTACTGTTAATGTTCCAATTCACTCTTATGGGCATTGCATAATGCTAAACTTGTCCCCTTCCTGAATTGGAGCAGCATTAATGGATAAACATTATTCCATATCATGTCTCTTTAGAACACTTACAATATATGCTTAATGAAACAAACTTAACAATTCATGTGATCCATTCTAGAATATTTCAATTCCAATCACAAAAATTGTCTCATCCATATATTTCATTCAAGGTTCTTAGAGAAAAGCTTAATGGTTTCAACAATGAAAACCAAGACCAATACATAGCAAGCAAAATAGCATAAATATCCAAAATGAGAAATATAAACTTACTCCCACTGACCTTGAGATACATACAACAATTAATAGTGCTTTCATTAAAATTAAAATTAAAATTAAAATTATTATTTTATAATGAATTCTTCAGTTTACAAAGCATGTGTTTCTTTCAATAAAAGAAAAGTCCTCGGGTTCATTCATGCAGACTTCTCTATTAAACACTCATCTAATCTTTTATCTTTCACATCCATACAATGTAACTCTAATTCATAATGAGTTACAAATACCACTATATGATTCCAAGTGAGTCATTCTTAGAAACAAGTGAGAATGTCACTTTATAACATATACCGTCGTTCTTAGTAAAATCGTTGGCCAATAGTGTGTCTTTATATCCATCTATATTGCCATTGGAGTTGAATGTAGTCATGAAGACACTCTTACACACAACTCGTATTTTGCAGGCAAATCGATGAAATCACAAACTTCATTCTGGCAAATTAATTTCAACTCATCATTCACGGCATAAATCTATTTAGTAGAATCAATATATGTTTAACGACATGTGAAAATAAAATCAAAAACTTTCGTAACACTCACAGTCAGATTCTTGTAGATATACCAAATAATCACTTAGAGTAGCAGATACCAACATGCTTAATGTCTTGATATCATCTTAATGCTATTCTTTGTGGGTCTCTACTACACTTTCACCGGTGAAGTAGTCATAATGGAGTGATTAGTTATTTATTAATTTGTTATTCATTGTTGTTAAAACTGTTCACAATTGTAGGAATAACAATTTCATTATGAAGTACGCATGCAAAAATTTGCACACTAACTTTTCATAAAACCAATTTTCTTGGTTATCCACTCCCACTAATTTCACCATTTAAAATGAAACTGACGTTACTTATTTCAATAATCTCATACCCTGGTTAGGACAATAAAATCTATACCATTTGTACTTTTCTAGGTAACCAATAAGGTTATCAAAAAAACATTCTGAAGGTCCAATCCCTTCTCATGTGAACATTACATTCTTACTCCCACTAAGCAACCCAAAACATAATGGTGCCTTAAATTGGATTTCCTTACTTTCCGCAGTTCAAATAATTTCTTATTTGAAACTGCCTTAATAGGAACCCAATTAGCATAATAGTTGTAGTAAGAACATGTATCCATAATGGTATACGTAATGATAAATTACTTCACATACCCCTAACCAAAGGACATCGCATTATAAGGTGAACACATGTTTTATAAATAATTTCAATTGGCTAAAAATTTCTTATGGCA